GCTGGGAATCAAATATTTGGTCTTTTACCTGAAACATGCCCAGGGTGCAGTATCTAAATTCTGTCAGGCAAAGTGCTCATGATGAATTCACCACTCACTTCGATTAAATAGCTCCAATAGCATGGCCTTTCAAATCATCATCTATAGACTAACACAAATTCTCAGTTTAGTTGGCACTAGAGCAAAGCCAAACAGTGCTAAAATTATTCAAAAAAGGGTGTGCAGCATATAAATTACTGTGAAAACTTAAATGTAGATCAAGGTTAATAAAAATTTGCTTATTAAAAAAGGCTATCACCAAAACGATGATGGCACCAAATTCAAGTTCCTGCAGGGAAAGGAAGTTTTTTTCTCTCTTCCCTTGATTTTGCCAAGGGCTATGTCAGGTCACCTCAGTCACATTTTTCTGAAAGCACAGGCTTGTCTGGGGCCCAAGTCAATGAATATGAAATTGCATCTCGGGAACTGAGTGGCACTGTGAGATACAGTGGAGGAGGGTTCACTTCCCCTGGTCATTTGAGTACTCGACAGCATCGCCTTCCATCAGGTGCTTGAGTTGAAGGACAAATCTACCAGCGAACCATGAATGATTTCATGATTAATCTAAGGTTTGCCTTGAATACACAGAACTCGGGGTCCACTCCCCAAATCACTGAAAGCCCTACTTCTGGGCAGTAAAAGCAAGTAGAGGAAACCACTAAAGACATGGATGGAATTCACAAGTATCTGTGCCCTATTCAACAAAGAACGCTAATGTCAACCATGCCCTGCCTCAACTTTTAAGCACGCTTACAGATTTAAAGTTCAAGAGCGAGGAAGACATAGGGATTTTCCAGGGGAGGAGGCTCTTAAGAGTCAAGATGCCCACTCTGACTTTTCTTAGTGACAGCATGCCCACAGCCAAGGAGTCTTGCAGAGTCTTGGAACCATAGGAAACGATGCTTCTGTCAGCTCTGCTCTCAGCCCCGCAGCCCCTGCTTCCTGGCTGGCTGTGCTCTGGGCCTGTTGCTCAGTTGTTCTTTCACCTGCTCCCTCCCTCCATGCGTGCCTCCCATCTGCCAGGTCTCATTTATCTCATGTCTACCACCCAACGGATGTGTGAGGTGGTATGAACCGCGATGTACAGACAGGAAACCCAGGTCAGCAAAGTCCCATGACTTGCCCAAGGTCATGCGGTGCGGGAAGGCACAGAGCAGAAACTCTCACCTTGGATCTGCTGCCTCCACTTCTTGGGTAGTGAGGACTTCATGGTAGGCATCAGCCTGGCCCCAGCTTTGAGGGGGATACTCCCATCTCCAGTGAAAGGAGAGAGGGTAAGACCAAAAGGGGAGAGGGAAATATACTATCTATTATGTTTAAACAAGATTAACCTGTGGGTGAACAGCTGGTTGCAGAGTTCTCAACTTAAGACAGGGCTTCTTTGCATGTTCCCTCTTTCCCTCCCTCCAGAGATGACGAGAAACACACTGTTTCTATCTACAGCGAGAAGAGGTCCTGTCACCTTGTCTGCAGGCCAGTTCCAGCAGGAATTAGGAAAGGTGAAATATCTGATCTAGACAGGCTGTTGTGTTTTCACATGGCTGAGCAGCCACCAATGGAGGGAATGTGCCCTTGGGATACGGGTCTAGGTAGGGAGGGCCAGGGCTCTGCACACAGACACCTCTTTCATTCATGACTCCGCAAATGTCATTCTTTCCAAGTCAGCCTGGGTTTCCAAGAACCCTTCTCTATACAGTGCCCCAGGTGAATTCTATGACCCCGTGTGGGTTGAGATGAAAACCCATTTGCTATCTCTGATGCTGCTGTCTGCAAGGAGCTGCTCTCAGGGCAGCTGGGCTCCTCCCTGCCTGAGTGGCATCTGAGGCCTTTTCCATTGGTTCTCTTGGGTTGCCTTTTGGCAGCTGTCACTCCACAAGTCTCCAGGAGTCTCTGGGATCTTCATCCATGGGCTAAAGGAGAGCTGCAGAAGAATCCAACATCCCAGCCTTCTGCAATTAGGCAAGAGGTATTTTTCCTGAGGACCACATACCCTAAAAGAGCCTGTCTCAAAGACAAGGTAAGCAAGAGGGCAGTGAGCCCTCCCACCTGCTTTTCCTTCCATCTCTGCCACTGCCCATCAGCTGTCCCTTCTCTGTCCTCCACGCTAGAGTAGCTACAGCCTCCTGGGGTTGGCTCATTCAAGAGATCACCTAATTTTCCCTCTCAGCAGCAGTGGGTAGGATGCCCCTGCTCAAGGGGGAGGCTTGTGGGGGCCTCGTCTCAGCTGTGGCTGCCTCCACAGGGTGTGACTAATCGGGGCCCGCAGGTGGTCTTGTAGCCTCTGCACCGCAGCTCTGAGGTCCCACGGGGCCCCAGCCCCCACCCACGCCAAATGACTCAGCTGAGCACCCCAGCTGCTACCCTGATGGGGCTAATGCTCCCTTAGGAGTCCCCAGCAGGGATTCCTGTGGTTTCAAGACCAAACACCACAGCAGATAGCGCAGGCAAGAAGGCACCACCGTTTAGCTGGTAGATCTGATGCTTCTCTGAGCCACCACTTAGCACACAGAACATCTGGTTCTGCAACAACTTTAACATTCAGAGAATAATTCTTTGATACTGTAGATTTTTAGCTTTTCTGACAAGATGTCTCATATAATCAAAGAATGATGTGGATGGGGAAAGCACACCAAACGCCCGGGTTCTCAGAGTGTTGCCATGCAGCGGGCTCTGACCGGGCTGGGTGGGTGGCGGGCTACAGGTCACTCTGGCTCTTAATCCTCATCAAGTGACTGCTCACAAGACGCCTTTAAGTCTCCACGATTGAGACAGAAACCCAAAAGTGTGCCAGAGTTTTCTGTGACCGGAAAGTAAGGTGATTAACAGAAAACTTCAAAACTGGCCTCTGGAAGATTTAAAGATAGGACCCGCTCAAACACTTTAGAGACAAGAGAACAAAGTGAAGGGTGAGAAGGAACATAAGTCAAGGGTGAACAGTACAGGCCTCCTCTAGACATTAAGACTTCGAATGCAAATGAAGGTCATTATCTGTGCATGTGGACAGATCTGTGTCAGTATAAATGCTGAGTAGGGTTTAATTTGCCAGTGTCAACAATTGGAGGAAAAGAAAGGAATTGAGGACTTTTCAGCTAATGTGTCCTGACCCTGGAAACCTCACCTGTGGAAATCCACACTGGCACCCATCAGAAATCCCTAATCTGCTTAAAAATAGGAGTCTGCCCAGAATCACCAGCATCCTCCCAGTTTCCTACCAACAACATGATTATGGAATGCGATTTCTACAGTCAGCCAAGCCTGGTTTGAATTCTGGCTCAGTTCCTTCTGAGCTGTTCCTAGGAAGTCGCTTAACCCCCAGCCTGGCTTTTATCTGTAAAAGGGATAAGCCATCATCCTCATTCTGCAACTTGTGTCTTTTTCTCTCCACTCAGTGCTGATTTTTTTTTTCTCCTTTCTTTCTGCTAATCTATGACCCTAGTGTCTTCATCCTCTCTTTCAAAACCTTTTTCAAAAGTTACGCCATGAACCTCCATCCATCTCTCCCCACCCCAGAAGTCCCTTCCTCCAGGTTCCCCATGGAGGGTAACTTTAACGACCAAATACAATACTAGAGGTGAGAGGACTTTACAAACCAAAGAGGGTCAACTGTATGTAAAGGATTAGCAATATTTCTCCTCATCATTCACACAACCCCTCTGAGAGTAATCTTAAGTAAGCATCTGTTTTGTCTCCGCTGTGAGGCTCTTACTACTTAAAGGGTGATTCCCGGACCAGCAGCTTCGGCATCTCCTGGAAGGTTGTTGGAAATGCAGAATATCTCAAGTCCTGGAAGTGACTGCTGAGTCAGAATTTGAATTTTAACAAGCTCCACAGATGAGTCACATGTACATTAAAATTTGGGAAGCACAGAATTCAACTCTAAGGACCTCAAAGGTGCAGACGGCACAGTATCTCCAGAAAGCCCTCCAAAGCCTTGGAGAGGCCTCTGTGCCTCTGTAATTGGGGTATTCAGCAAATACAACCACGTAACCGCTGCCCTGCTGGCAATAAAACTGAAAGCCTGGCTGCCTCTAGGCCTGTCGATGATACTTATCTGAACAGACCTGACTTCCAGTATCTTTACATAAAAAGCTTGAAAATTACATCTACATAAAAAGCAGGCTCCTTTAGCGTAAGTCATTATCAGGCCGAGCGCTCAAGTCCTTGGTAACTGGAAGGAGAGTTGGCCCCTTCTCTTCAGAGGGAGCCAGCGTGAATCACAAAGACTCGCTCGATTTCACAGTTCATGCTTCTCACTCCACTCTCCACCCCTGAACATTTTAATGATGCTTGAAAAGCACAGGTCTGAAAGGACAGCTGGCCTGGGACACCCACAGCGCACGTTTGGTATCTCGGCAAAACCTGCCTGAGAAGTGCTCTCTAACAGCCTGAAGCAGCTTCTCCCCTTCCTGGGACATAGTATCCACACTTCGCATCAGCGAGAAGATTAATTTGGAACTCAAATTCCTCCATCATATGATCACGTCTTAATGATCAGTAGAGTGTCTCCCAGAAAGGCAAGGCTGAGGGCAAACACAAACCAGACTAATCACTTTGCCTCTAAGACACCTCTTAGAGAGTAGATGTTATTTAAAAAGAAGGGAGAAAAAAGCATCATCAAGAAAAGAGGCAGATTAACATAGCAACAGGAAATCGGGCTATGGAGTTTGATCCAGGTTAAAATCCCAGCCCCAGCTCCATGGTCACGTGCTAATCACACTGAGGCTCAACATTTCCCCCATGAACATAGGCTGATACCACCTGTCTGGTGGTTCTGAGGATCACTCGAGAGAACACACGAAGTTCACGGAGCACAGTGCCCCATCCGTGAGAAGGGCTCAAGCAACATCGGATGTTATTTTTCTGTTGTGCAGCTCCCCCATGGGCTGCTGGGGCCTTGCTCAGAGCTGAGAAGCCAGGCCAGTAGGCCCATCACCTTGCTCCCGGGAGGCCTTTCCACTCACCTTGATCATTTCTGCCACATAACTCTCGGGCCCAGTATATTCGGTGGAGTCCTTTACTTTCACCAGGACGATGAAGCACAGATAGTGCCACATGTTGTGTTCTTCCTTGATGTGTTCTTCAAAGGTAACAGTCTTGTTGTCAAACTTGTCTCTTTCCAAGCCTAAAAATGAGACAAAAAGCCCCCGGCCCCAACTGAGCAGTCTTGGTAAAGGAGAAAATCAGTAACAGAACTGTCAGTAGAAAGCGGGCTGTGGTTTCACTCCTGTCTTTATAAAGAGTCGGATTCTGTTGGCCTTGTAAGTGCATTCATGTTTACATTATGGCAGGAAAACACAGGCTGTGAGTCAGACAGACTTGGGTTTGAATCCCACCTCTGCCACTTAGCAGTTGCTGCTTCATCTCCACATGCCTTAGTGGCCTTGTCAGTGAATGGGACGACCACCGTCTAGGTTCCAGGAGTGTTTAGGGGTAAAATGAGAATGTGTGTGACACACTCACACATTGCAGACAACCAGGGAGTGTGAAGTCCCTTCGCCCAGGTAAATGCCAAAATGCAGGTATGTTAAGGGCTTTTGAGGAAGCAGAATAAGGACAACAAGAACTTTAAACAAATTTTGAACTCTAGCTGGTAGGTTTATAATTTGAAGAGGCCTGGGTGGGCAATTCTAGTCTCTATGTATTCTAGGATTGATCAAATAAATATATTGAAGATAATGGGAGCTGGATTCCTCACTGCCTGAGAAAAGAATGCAAATAGAGAAAGGGAGAAAGGATAAACCCTGTAATGCTGAAATGGAATTAAAGGTATCAGTATGAATTTATCGTTTTTCATACATATAGACACAGATGTGTGCAGATACATGTGCTGTGTACACATACACACATATGCAGATGCATACACTTCTCCTCTAGATCTGTACCCTAATAAGCCCTGAGAGCAGCAGCACACCAACAGGAATGAGCACACTCAGTCCCCAGATCTTGGCTTCTAAATACCTTTCTTCAGTAAAAAGAACCAGGGCTCTTTGGAGAAATGGCTGATTCCGGGGATGGGTCAGGAAATGTATGAGGTGAGCCTACGCCTGGAATATGTAATGATGCCAAAAAAGTCAGAAAGTACATAGAAAATGAAGATAATATGACTAAACCCAGAAGCCAGCTGGAAAGGTGTCTCACTGGCCACATCTGAAACAATGTGAACATCAAAATAAATAATGACAGTGAAAGATTATAGCCCATTGAATAAAATAAAAATCCATAAGTCCATGTTGTTACAAATACAAACACAGAAATATACATACATGTCAGGAGAAGAAAAAATTCTTTCTTACAATAAAAAGCCAATACAGAAATGTAGAAGTAATAATAAAAATTATCATTGGGCAACCATCATCATAATAGAGCCAGTCAAACATCATCAATGAATGCTGAAGCTAAGGGGTGAAAGTTTAAGGAATAGCAAGATATTTACAAAGTGTCTCTCCAAAAAAGTAACTTTATGGAGTTACTGGAGAAACCTGGCAATTAGCACATTAACCAAATGATCAAAGTTAGTATCATGGCTGGACACAGTGGCTCATGCCTGTAATCCTAGCACTTTGGGAGGCCAAAACAGGTGGATTGTCTGAGCTCAGGAGTTCGAGACCAGCCTGAGCAACACAGTGAAATCCCATCTCTACTGAAATACAAAAAATCAGCCAGTTGTGGTGACAGGCACCTGTAATCCTAGCTACTCAGGTGGCTGAGGCATGAGAACTGCTTGAACCCCAGGAGGCAGAGGTTACAATGAGCCAAGATATCAGTTAGGAGATGAACTGGCATTACAATGCCTCCTGATATGATGCAATGAGAAGAACACCACAGCATGTCTTCGATACTCCTGTGGAAAACGTATACCCTCAATCTTACCATGAGCAAACATCAGACAAACTCAGATCAAGGGACATTATACAAAATAATTGACCTATATGCTTCAACAGTGTCAGTGGAGGCTAATGAGGCATGGTGACTGCAGCCCCACAGGAGGTGGGATTTGCAAAGGATATTCTTGGAATGAAGGATGAAATTTGAATAAGGTCTGTAGATGAGATAACAGTATTGGATCGGTTTTAATTTCCCAATTTTGATAATTATACTGTAGATACACAAGAGAATGTTCTTGTTTTTAGGAAATGTGTACTAAAATATTTAGGGATAAGAAAGCATCACTGTCAGCCACTCACATTAGACAATGTGTGTGTGTGTGTGTGAGAATAAAACAAATGAGATAAAATATTAATCTTTAGGGATTCTGGGTCAAGAGCATATAGAAATTCTTTGGATGTCTTTTCTGTAACTCTGAAATTATGCCAAGGCAAAAAGCTTAAAAAGGTTTTAAGGGGGCAAAAAGCAAATAATTTAAGTCTTTAATGGGAAAATGATTTTTTTTAAGCATACATACCACTAGGAAATTTATATATTTAGTAGCCACATGATGAATAATCTTGAAATGATTACTCAGCAACCCAGATTCCTCCATGATTAGTTTACATTTACAAATATTTTTCTGTAGTTATAGTGAAAATGATTTCTTTGGTGCCCATGTACCTCTTTTATGTAGCAGTTCACTACTTCTCCTCCCATGCCTACAGTGTGCCAGGTTCTAGCTAGGAATTTTACATATGCTGTCTCTCCTAATTCTCACAATAATGCAGACATTATTGTGTACATGGGTACACAATAATGTACCCATTTTACAGATGAAGAAAGAAGGATTAAAGATGTTAAATGACTACATGATGGTTACACAATTAGTAAGTGGTAGCAGCTCAGTCAGACCCAGGTCTGTAAATACTTCCCAGCAGAATAAAGGCCAAGTAGAGCCTCACTCACTGCAGAGGGTAGAAGAGTCAAGAGGACGCAGCCGGTGCCCCCTCCTGCATAACCGGGCACGCACCCGCCCATCACACCCTCGCAGTCTCCACATGCCTCTGCCACACTGGGCCTTCACACCCTTGCTGCAGCTGGCCAGCAACACTCACCACAGATAAAGCACGTGGTCTTCAAGATCTCTTCCTTCTTCTGCTTCTCACTCCTCAGGTCAGCAAAAGTGTCAATGATAACCCCAAAAATCAGGTTAAGAACAATGATGATAACCATGAAGAAGAACAAGAGATCATAAATCACTCTAGCAGCAAACAGGGGTTCCTGGAAAAGAGAGGTGTCTGAATCAGTCTGGGTCCCTTGTGACCCTTTGGTCTGCAGAGCCTGGGACACAGCTCAAGCGAGACCTCGTCTACTTGGGTAGAAATTAAACTGGGCATTAAACTTTTAAATTCAAAATTGCATCTCTTTTCATATCCCCTGTCTCAATTGTGATTTCTCCAAGTGTGGTGTGACACAGCCAGGAGGGATATTCGACATGCGTTCAGGTGGATCAGGTCTAACCCTGATGGAAAAAGTCCCTAAATCTACTGAACAGAGAGCCAGAGCTAACCCTTTCCACGCAGCTGATTTTGTGGCACCACCTCACATGATAGAGAGGAAAGAAGCCTGACGAGCTAGTTCCGCAGCTACTCAGCCCTACTCCCAGCTTTTCCTCTGTGTCTGCAGTTTACACTCAACACCACTGCATGGTGCTCCCACCAACCACCCCACCCGCCGCCTTTGCCCTTCCTTCCCCTTGGGATTAATTTACCTCTTTGGACGGCTTCCTGAGCACATCTCCTACTCCACCCCCGCTCCGCAGCCCGTGACTCAGTACAGTGACAATGCACATCAGCAGCGTCTCACATGTGTGCTCTTTATCCTGTTCCGTTTCTTCTGCAGGGACCAGCTCTGTGAACATGGCAAGTAATAACAGACAGAAAACTTGAGGGGAAAGGAGAGACCGGGATTTTGAAATTCTGTTTCCTGAATGCCATCTTACCAGGCACACGAAAGAATAAAATTAAGGAATCAAGAGCCAAGTACTTTCTTTCAAAAGCTAAAGTCGTCTGGGGCAACTCTGTTTTCATCGCTAACCCCTGCTAATTTCTCCAGCTATGGTAGTATTGCTCTCCCTCTATGGGATCTAAAACATGCCCTGTCCTTTTCAGGTTTTAAACCCCAGACCCAGCTGCAAACAGTCTTTTCATGTTAGATGAGTTGCTTCACAGCTCTGAGTCACAGGCATCTTGTCTCTCAGATGAGGGTTATGCCACAGGACCCAAGTTCCTCACTGGGGATGATGTGAGGATGAAATCCAGGGATATTTCATGGCAGGGCCTCTGGATAAACTGCTTTGCATTGGAGGCTGTTCATTTTCACTGGTTTATGCAGTAAGAGCCATGCCTTGCTGTCTGCCTCATTCCTTTCTCCAGCTGCAGAAGGGTCTTGCTAAAACCCAGATTTCATTACTCATCTTCCAACAACCCCTGACCATCCTCTGGATGAAGTTTAGCCTCCTAAGCCTGACACAGAAGACCCTTCATGATATAGCCCTTTGTTTGTATCTGTGGCTTCATTTCTTGTTACTCTCCTTCCTTATAATCATTATCTCCCCAAACTTGCTGTTTTTTTCTTTTGACCTTTAAAGCCTTTAGATGTACTATTCCCTCTCCCTGGAATATCAAGGGTCTTCTGTTATAGTTTGGGTATCACTTCCTTGATGATACGCTGACCGCAGTAGCAGGCTGGGTGCCTAACTTCTGTATTCCATCCTTATTCCCAGCATTGGGCAACTCTCTAGCAATCACCATTTGGCCTGCCTGCACCCTCCACTACATTGCTGTCTCTTAGAGTACACCACGGTCCCTGGCAAACGGCGGGCACTCAGTATAAATCGGCTGAATCACATCAGATCTTTTCTTCATGTGTAACCTTCTTTTCCCTTTATCTCCCTCCTCTCTCTCAGTCTTTCCCTTTGCTATAGCCTTACTCCTGAGCAGTAAATTTAATCTTCTTCCAACATCACCTGCATCAGTTAAGCCTCTGAAGGAATCTGATATTAAGATGGGGCTTACAGTTAGGAGGTCCTACCTTCTTTGGGTGCAGGAGAGGAGCAGTTCTCCCCACTCTCCACCCTACACACATCGGAGAACAGGAACTCGCTTGCCAAACTCTCGCTGGTTTCTGGGAGAGAGAAGGAAATTTTATGATGAACAATCTGGCAGCATATGGTTAAAATGTTTGAAGTCCCCAATTCACGGCTGATTAAACAATTCTTTACATAAATAACACCCTAGAATCTTGCATATAAATTCAAAGCAGAAATGCAATTTACACTTTCATTTGGTGATCTGGATGGGAAAAAAGCCAAAAATGTCAATTCCTGTAGGCTTACTAGAAATATCGCACTTAAATAGCACCTCTCCAACTTTAAAGACAAACAGCTGAAACTCTTAGACAGATACTACTGAACGTACAGACTCCAGGAAGATTTATACCAAGTCTGCACGAGAAGCATCAGCAGGCATTCATAGAAATCCAAGGTCCAGGCCAGTTTAGTCCACAACTCTAAGATGGCTGGCAGTTTAAGTGTGACTTAGTGTCAACTTGGGAGGCTGGAGATACATGCCAAGAACACAGCCTTTGGGAGGGAGAGCACAAAGGCTGGCTGGCTCAGTCAGCCACAATGATTCCAGTCTGTTCCTTAGACTCAGGGGATGAAAAACCAGTAGTATTTCACTAAGTAGGGCCAACTATTGTAACTGAGAGAAAAGGGCACTTGGGTATCAATAAAGTATTATGGTCAGTTTTTTTCACTCTCAAAATTGGAAATCTCTTCTGTTCTTGCTATGTGTAAAAATAACGAGCTCACTGTAAAACCTGCATATAGTAAAAAAGCCCCAGAGAGCGAGCTACTGCTAGCAGTCTGGAGGTATAGTCATCCATGTTTTCATATATGGATATGAGCTTTTTAATTTTTAAGAAGACCGGGCATGGTGGCCCACACCTGTAATCCCAGCACTTTGGGAAGCTAAAGCTGGGTGATCGCTTGCGCCCAGAAGTTTGAGACCAGCCAGGGCAACATGACGAGAACCCATCTCTACAAAAAATACAATTAGCCACATGCAGTGGCAGGCGCCTGCAGTCCCGGCTACTGGAGAGGCTGAGGCGGGAGGATTGCTTGAGCTCGGGAGGTTGGAAGTTGCAGTGAGCTGAAATCATATACCACCACACACCAGCCTGGGAGACAGAGTGAGATCCTGGGTCTCAAAAAAAAAAAAAAAAAAAAAAAAAAACATACATGTGATCCTACTGTAGTTATCCTTCTGCCATTTCCAGCTATATTTTGTGGGTATTTTTCCATGGAGGTTTATAAAGATGTACCTATGTGCAAGGCACCCCACCTCATGGATGTACCATGATCTGATGACACACCCCTGAACATTTAGACTGCTTCCAACTGTACATTGCAGCGAATGTTCTCCCAAATATGTCTGTTTCCACATGCACAGTCAGCAGGCTTGTTTCTCTTTATGTATAGATGCCTAGAAGTAGATTTACTAAGTTAAAGGGATGCATACTCCAACGCTCTCAATATATATGGTCACTGCTTTACAAAAACGTTGCATTAGTTTAAAAGATAATGTTAGTGAATAAATAAATGTCAGATCTGGTCACTCACTCTTAGCATTTGATATGCCACACTGCCTTTTGAGTAAAGTGAGAATGAAGATCTGTATTTGAAACTCACACTCTACGTGTTAGGGAGATACAATGGGGAGACAGCTGCATTACTAAAGTCCTTATTTTCTTTAGTTCAGTTATAATCAGGAAATAATCTTTTAACATTAAAAAGATCAGAAGATCCCAAACCCACCTGGAACAGCTGTTTCATTGGGCAGCCTATCTACTTCCAAGATAAAGTCATCCTTGAAGAAAAGATAGCCCACTATTGAGAACAGGTAAACAAGGATCAGAGCCAGAACTGCTGTCAGGATGATGGACCGTCCATTGCGAGTGACACTTTTAATGACATTAAGCAAAGTCTCTTCTCTGTACACTAAATCAAAAAGCTTTGAAAACAAACAAAAAGAATTTTAAGAAGCCTTGATGTTACATGTACATCACTATCCCATAATGAAAACTTGGTTTATAGAGCATTTACCCTCTTAGAAACTCAAAAGCATTACACATGATCTTAACACTGAACATCTTCCCTGGCTTCACAGTGAAACGGAGATGGTAAAAATGAGGAAAAATAAACACAGAAGAGGGAAGCAGGAAACAATAGCAATTTCAAGTAGTATCCAGAGCCATTTAGAGGGCCTGGAAATAGAGAAAATACATACTTGTGCCAATAAATTTCAGAGAGAAAGGAAGAGGAAAGTGATGAGGGTCTTGGCATCCATTCATTTAGAAGGTACTGAATTGAGTTTCTATGAAGAGCCAGCCACCCTGGTCCCTGCCCTCCTGCAGCCTAGTGTCTGCTGGGAAGGCAGACATACTACAAGCCAGCATCAGTGGCAAGAACTCTGGACTTAGATATAAGTTCAAATCTTAGCTCAGCTACTGTCCACCATAGGATCTCAGGCTAGGCACTTTCATCTTCCCCTCTGAGTCTCCATTTCCTCATTTGCAAACTGGAGGATGTAGAGTTATTATGAAGAATAAGTAAACCACGTACGCACAGTGCTTAGCACACTGGCATACATATGTTGAGTAAGTACAATAAATAGTAATTATTAATTTCCTAATCAAGAGACTGGGGCAGGGTCACATAGCTAGTATATCGCAGGGACATTAGTGGTGGTAACACTGTGAGGGTAAGACCCCTGCAGGTCACAGTGCATTCACAATCCAGGCTTGCCCTCTGCTAAGGAACCTGCTGTTTGCAAGAAGTTGGCTTCCTGAGGAATGGAGGATCCCTGTAGGTACATATAGGTATGGGAGGATGATGGCTAGTTTTCCAAGAGCTACAGTCACAGATACTTGGCTAGGAGAATGGTGGGGAGTGTGGGGAGAGAGCTCTCTGAAGTTACTCTTAGACCTGAGGCTAGTTTTTAGCATGGCCTCTGGCTGCTGTCTAATCTTGTACAGAAGGTTTGGTCTCCAATGTGGCTTTGGGGTGTGACTGCACCATGAAGTGAGTCAGGGGACAGGGTCAAATCCTGACTCTGCTTTTAATTTGTTGCAAGATGTCGGTCAAGCCATCTAAGCTCTCTGGTTCTGTTTCCTCATCTGTAAAATAAGTGGACTGAGACAGCTGATCTCTGAGTCCCTTCCAATTTAGAATTTTACATCCGAGGTCATTTTCTGGTTGATTGGCTTTTCTGCCTCCTTAACACCAATCTGTGTTCTGAGACTAGTTCTGTGAAAGGCATTGGGTAGAGTAGGATACTTCAAGGGAAGCAAGGAAGAGGCGTTTAGTCAACACAATACAATACGACAGAAGGCAAAGTGTTGCTGTTAATGTTGGTTAAATATTTTCCAGTAGCTCAATATAAAGCGGCAAGTAAGGGCAACTTCAGACAACAAGCAAATGATACTTGTTTTCTGTTGTTAAGGACTGCAGAGATTATACAGGCTCCAAATCATTGAAATGACAAGCAATTTTTTTCTCTTCACCCATCTATAATTTGTGATTTTAAAACATTCAATAAGTATTATTTGTATAAAAGAAAAGCTTTCTTCTAATTAGAAAATTATACATGTTCAATGGAGAAAACTTGGAAAACAAAGAAAAGCACAAAGAAAAAAGAAGTCACAAATAATTCACCATCTAGAGACATTTGTTCAATAGCTTAATTCCTTCTGGCCTTAAAAAAATGCAATTTATAGATACATATTGTTTACAAAAATATTAGACCATAATACTGGCATATAACCAGCCTTTCACCAAGCCATCAGGAACATTTTCCTGTCAAAAATGATTACCTGGTATTTCACTACATGGGAAAAACATGATTAACATAACCAATATGTTTTTTAAAAACAGTTAAGATGTTTCCAATTATATGTCGTAATAAATAATGCTGTGAGGAACACTTCTATACATGTCTCTATACATGCTCATCTAGTTATTTCTTTTCGACAAATTTTTGGAAATGGAGTATTTGGGTCAAATGGTATAAGAGAAACATTTTGCCTACTGCCTTCAGAAAGGCAGGATCACTTTACATTCACCACTAGTAAAGAATCTACCCCACTCTCACTAGTACTGGGCACCATCAGGCTTTTCAACCTTTACCAATGTCACAGGTAAAACACGGGATTGCGCTGTTTTCGTTAGCATGTCTTTGTTTAGCACCAAGGATGAACCTTTTTGCATGTTTACTGACCATCTGGATTTCTGCTTTTGTTAACTGCCTGCTTATGAACTTTGCACACTTTCATCTCCAGGTGTTAATATTTTTCTAAGGACACAGCTTTAATGCAGGCTCAAGACCAGGGCCAGCCAGTCTTTGGGGGGTGAGGGGGGGGGGCGGCAGTTTAATTAGGCCACCAGATTACCCTCCCTGCCTTCTGGCCTGCTAGCATGGAGGCAGCTCTCCCAACCCTAGAACACATGGGTGTTCCCTGCTGAGGTTTCTCTCCTTTTATAGGCAGCCCAATTTCTTTTGGTTGCAGGCTTTCCTTATTAGTAGAATAATTTGAAGTGTCAGTGTTTTCTGGTTCTTACCAGACACATTCAGGACTGCTTTGATACCAAAAGGAGCCTATTACTTGAAGCTACAAACAAGTCAAGGTCCACACGGCTTAGAAAATCCCCCCTGAAGCAAAGGAGAGGCATCCAACCACAATCTAGTCTGATCCTATTGCATTTCCTAAAACTGAACTGAGGTAGCATCATCAGAAGCTGAGACTTACTCTTATCTTTCTGTGATAAGTTAGAGACTTGAAAGCACAGATGCAAACTAGAATGTGAAATGCCAGTTTCACTGATGCAAGGACTTTTTCACATGCTTGAATAAAAGGCAGTGTCAACTTGGGCATCAACAGAGTTGTGTGACTCTGAGCAAGTTACCTAACTTCACCAAGCCTCAGTTTCCTCAGTTGTAATTGGAAGATACCATCTACCTCAAAGGTGGTAGTGAGAGCGTGTAGAGAAGAGTACAGGGTGAGCACTCACGCAATAGCTGTCCCTGTGCTGTGCTCCAGACTGTGAGACCTATGAGGGTAGGGACTGTGTTCCTCTCACCATTATGTGCCCTGCATCAGGCACTGGCACTGGCCTGCATTGCAAGTCATGAAAAGAAGAGGACTCGAATGAACAGAAAAGAAGCAAAGCCAACTGGAGGCAGATTGGAGGAAAGGGCGAAGCGTTTACTGGGGCGAGGTGGCGTTGGCCAAAGGGGAATCTCCTGTCTCTTGGGAGAGACTCCTTGGCAGAGATGAGAGAGACCACCAACTGAACTCTGCCACCCTGCCAAGGGAGGACAGGAATTTGTTGTCCAGGGACATGATGGCATGAGACAGAAAGTTCCAGAAACAGACATAAGTCTCTAAAGATTTCTGATACAAAGTGACCAAAATAGGCCACATAATGGGAATCACAAGTATATCCTGAGACCTCTCAGCCTAAAACCTCAAAATATAGCCAGATCTATTTTAAGATGAGGGAAAAGAATCCATTCCCTTTAGCCTGCCAAAATCCACCCCTAATGGAATGAGCTAATCCTAGTGATCTGAACGGTGAATTCCTTATGGTGTTTTGGACGGGGGAAGGAATATAGAATGACAAAGACAATAATAATAGCTGGCAATCGTTCGGCAGTGCTATTCTAAGACGCTGACCTGAACAGCTGCATGTAATCCCTATGACGGCCCTGTGAGGGAGATACACTGTTCTCATTTTGCAGATGAGGAAACTGAGGCACAAGGCAGTCAAGTACGTTAAGCAAAGGGAGCATCTCACACAGTTGCATTTTGTGCTTTCAAATCTCTAACCTATTGCAGAAAGATAAGGGTAACTCCCAGCTTCTGAGGATGCTGCTACCTCAGTTCACTTTTAGAAAATGCAATAGGATCAAACTAGATTGTGGCTGGATGCCTCTCATACATGCTTCAGAGGGATTTTCTAAGCACCTCCCTGAAGAGCTTTCCTTGCTCTGCCTTTTGCAAGTCCCTCCCTCTTTGTAAGTCAACTCTGAGGCCTTGATCATTTTTGTCCTCACAAATATTTTAATATTTCTAGGCTCTTTACGGTGTTGCTTGCAGATAGGTCAATTTTATGCTTCCTGTCATTTTATGTAGGCACAAGAAAATGGTTTCTTATCTACAACGCCACAGGTCTAGATTCCCTCTAACTACAGGAAAGTAAGCAGTTATTTGATTTGTAATTTAAAAACCTGCTCAGGAGGAAGGTGATGGAACAAGCTTGTTTAATAGACTGTCAAGACATTAAGCACTTGGCTCATATCGGAACAAAGTAACTGCTACTGAAAGGGTCTCCTGGACCAATAAATCTACTAAGCTCATGATCATGAATCCTGGGGCTTCAAAACTGGCTCCTACTCTTATGGTCGCTACATGTGTTCACGAGAAATGGATTCCATGAGAACTGTTGGATGACAGCCTCAAAAACACTCCTCTTGTTATAAGTGCTGGCTGAGTCTAAGAAGTAAAGAAAAACGAAGGTGCATGGAGAGGAAACATCTGAACCTACTGCAGGCATTTTCCATTACTGAGAATTAACAGATTTGGACTGCACAGTACACAGTGCAGTTGTGCGACTCTTGAATTCCTGGGCTGACCCAATTCCTGTGGAGCTTTCCTCTCAGATCCCCCAAAGGTTGCAAACTGTGGAGCTTCAATATTGATGGACCAGGAACACCAATCACCATTAAAAGGAAGGGTCTCTGATGAGAGAGAAGCCCTAGGACCCTGTCCTAGTTTCCCTACACATAAAATATTTCCACACCAGGTACTCACCAGCAGACTGTAGAAGAATTCATGGACAAAGAGCCCCATGGCACAGATCACCAGATACAACAAATGATAGAGGAACTCAACATCCAGAACCATGGCTCGGTAGCCTCTTGTGAACGTCCCACAGTTGCCCACAAAGCTCATTAGAAAGATAATTTTATTGCATACCTGAGAACAATGACAGGACCAGTCAGACGGCACGGACTGTGCCCAACTCTTCATGAGAGCAAAGAGAGTGTCTCACACAGATGTATTTCAGTCACCATGCCCAAACAAACGCTTCCTTTTCCACCTGGTGCCCACCAAACCCACCAAGAACTATTTGCAGATCTAAGTCATTTCATTACTTTGCTTTTCAGGCATATTACAAATTACATGGTAGTGAAATAACTTCATGTGCAACAGTAATCAAGTAGCATTTCTCTATGGCAAAAACAAAATTAACACATACTGAGATTATGATTTTCAAAATGAGATATGAATCATTTCTAACATTCTTATATGAGTTAGTCAAACACAGAAGTCACCTCAATCCACGAACCCTGTGATCAGCATGATCAAAAGCATTTTCTGAACTTGCTACATTCTAGGCACTGGAAGGTGGCAGTTGAATGAGCAGTGATCAGTTCTTGCCTTTCATTGCTCCTAAGTCCACAGGGAAAACAAGAATTTTCTTGGGGGAAGAAACATAAGGGACTCCAGGATGAGTTCTATTCCCCTGCCCTCTCTTCTGGGAATAACTTCTAATTTCCCCTCTGAGTAGCAGTCTTTGAGGTCTGGGTGGGACTCCAACCTGGCCATCACAATACTGTATTCCCCTGGGTACAATGACTGGTTTAGAGAGAGACACAGGACCAAATGGAGCCAATGATGTCCACTGAGCTCTTTCTTGGGATTGCAGCAAAAGGTAATTTTGTTCTTTCCTACCAACCTTGGACCTGAGCAGCTGTAAACTCTGGAGATGCCACATTACCAACACTGAAGGCACCACCAGCACTGGGGACACAGAGCCAAAAGATGGCAAGGAGGAACTGGGCCCTGAGGACACTGTCTGAGCCCCTGTATCAGCTGTGCCTGAAGCAAGGCTCTTGGTTTCTTGGTCAAAATGAACCAATACGTGTTCTCCTTTGCTGAGGCTAGCATGGATTAGGTTTTCTGGTATCTGCACCTGAAGGAGTCCTAACTGAACTACTGTGCGATACAGTCCCAGCTTTGACAGAAACCCCAATGCCTGGAAGTCCATCTCTAGCAATATGTTGACAGAAAAACTTGGCTCAGGAGGAGGCCAGAGAGGAGCCTCTCTGGATGCACTTGGTAAAACCATCTTCTGCTACTCGAGCTCCCTTGGCCACAGGTGCGGGGGAAATACTGCCAGTTAATCTGGTAGGTCGGTGTAAGTGAGCTTCTCGGCAATCAGATAAGCGAGGAAGCCGACACCCACAGATCGCTGCTGGCTTTCTCAGACAGGCTAAGCATTCAATCTGCCAGTTTTTTCCAAAATTCTAACCTTTGCTAGTGGAGGGGCTTTCATAGGGTGGGAAAGTAGCACTGACTCTGGATGATCCACGATGATGTGGTTTCAGGGAGGGGCAGATGGTGCCCTGGGTGACATCACACATTACAGGACCTCAAACACACCCCAGCTCCTGCCATCTTAACAGGGTGATCCACTTCACCCGAATCCATTCTTCCCTCTAACTTCTGCCCTAGTTTTCTCCATTGCTTCCCCAGGAAATAGCTGCTATTTGTGGTCTCAGCCTGCGGCTGGACTCTGCTTGTTAGTCTGAGATCTGGCTCCCATCCCCACCTCTCAACAGAGGCAGCTCATGTGAAGTCTCAAGGATTCTGCGCACCCAGCAGTCTTCCTGTCTGCTCTTAGCATCTTTCCCAGCTCCCTGCAGCGTGACCAGGCTCCCACCGCACCCTGCTTACCACTCTCCCAGCTGGGCTTCAGGACCCTGCCTTCTCCTCCAGCTCTCAGAACTCCAATGTTCTTTCTCTGTCTCTGTCCACAGCTACTTTCCCTCTCCCATACATTCCATGTGGGTGCTTCTCTCTTTTAAAATTCACTCTAAGCCCGGTGTGGTAGCTCACGCCTATAATCCCAGCACTTTGGAAGGCCGAGGAGGGTGGATTGCCTGAGCTCAGAAGTTCGCGACCAGCCTAGGCAACACGGTGAAACCTCATCTCTACTAAAATACAAAAAATTAGCCAGGCATGGGGGCACGTGCCTGTAGTCCCAGCTACTTAGGAGGCTGAGGGAGGAGAATTGCTTGAACCCAAGAGGCGGAGGTTGCAGTGAGCCCAGATCACGCCACTGTACTCCAGCCTGGGTGACAGACCGAGACTCCGTCTCAAAAAAATATGTAAAATAAAATTCACTCTAAATAATTATTTATTATAGCTGTTTGCCCCCCACTCCAGCTCATGTTGTTGTAAATGGTAATTAATTCTCAGCTGAGTCTTTCCCCAACCTGATTTGTGTTAAAGAAGTGATAACTGTGGAATGATTATCACAGAAGGCCAAAGAAAAAAAGAACTAGGCAGTCCATAGAAGACAGCCTCTGAGGTACTGAACATTTTTTCTGCCTAGTTGTTTATGTAATTCTTTTGTATTTCCTTCTTAAATGGTTTCCTCTCGCTGTAGGCAATCCTTACATTCCCCTCCCCACACCGATATGTAGTTCTGGTCATGTATTTCCAAATGCCCCAGCTAATGTTTAACAGCCTGTCTTTCCACCTGAAGCCCAGTAGTTCAACAATTTAAATGTATTTTCACCCTGAAAACTAGATCTTGGCATGACTTCATTTTAGATGGCTACAGTATTCTTCTTGCAATCATTTGTGACTGACAATTTGGAGCCATATTCGCCTCCTTCGTTACCCAATCAAGACAGTGATACCCTCTTTGTCTGAAAAAGGGACCCAGAGTGGCAATATGGTTTGGTTCTGTGTCCCCACCAAATCTGTTAAATTGTACTCTCCAGTGTTAGAGGTGGGGCCTGGTGGGAGGTGACTGGATCATACATAGTTTAGCGCCACTTGTCCTGGATACACTATAGTGATAGAGAGCTGGTTGTTTAAAAGTGTGTAGCGCCTCCCCATCCACTTCCCTCCTGTTCCAGCTCCAACTTTGCTGCTTTTACTCCACCAAGAGTGAAAGTTCCCTGAGGCCTCCCCAGAAGCAGATGCTGCCATGCTTCCTGTACAGCTGCAAAACCTCAAGCCAATTAAACTTCTTTTCTTATAAATTACCCAGTCTCAGGCATTTTATAGCAATGTGAGAATGAACTAATACAAGCACATTGCTTTCTGGGTGGGGTAAGGCTCTGACACTGTGTCCACCATGTATTACTATTTCCTTCCTCTCTCTTTCTTTTTCTTTCTTTTTTTCTTCTTTTCTTTTTTTTTTGTCAGTCTCATTCTATCACCCAGGCTGGAGTGCAGTGGCACCATCTCAGCTCACTGCAACCTCCGCCTCCCAGGATCAAGAGATTCCCATGCCTCAGCCTCCCGAGTAGCTGGGATTACGAGCATGTATTACCATGCCAGGCTAAATTTTTGTATTTTGTTTAGTAGAGAGGGGTTTCACATGCATACTGGCCAGGCTGGTCTTGAACTCCTGGCCTCAGGCAATTTGCCCACCTTGGCCTCCCAAAGTGCTGGGATTACAAAGGTTTGAGCCACGGTGCCCAGCCTATTTCCTTCCCATTTCTGACATCCATACCTTCCTTCTTTCTTGTACACTATGTTCAAGACTCAGGCTTGTCAAACCCAATCAAAGCGCCGCTACAGCCCCTAAAAAGCCTCTTTGCCTCTAGTCCCTCCCAATGAATCCACATCACATGCCATACCGAATGCATTTTCTCCAGAACACTTCTTTGTATGGACCATTTCTTGGCTCAAAAACACCACAGGCACTTTCCACTACCGGGAACAGAGTTTCCAACATATATTCTATACGACACTAATCTCAAGGGATACTTACAAAAAACTGCAGGAAAACAAGTTTGGGAAACAGAAATACACTGTTTTCCTTGGAGGTTCCTAATCCATATTAGTACAGTAAAGTCTGTGAGGAAGCCTGCAGTAACGAAACCCTTCATGATGTGTTTACCCCAGCATTTTTCATGTGGATTCAATCACGGGACCCTTTCTTCACCTCATATTTATCAACGTGGAATATGCTCTGGGAATGCTGACCTGGGGGATGAAGTCCAGTTGCTTTATCCTAAAATTCAGTGCTGCAAGTGACTCATACAGGATCATTTCCTACTGATCACTACCGACCACGAATGAGGTGAAACTCTTTATTGTCTCTTGATAACATCCAGGGCTTTCCCATTGTTCTGCTCTGGCCTACGGGGCCCACAAAACCAAAACACTCTTCTCAATCCCTGCTTCATAGCCAGATCCTCTCCATTCCTTTTTTTTAATTTTTAATTATTATTTATTTATTTGTTCATTTATTTATTTTTGAGATGGAGTCTCCGTTTGTCACCCAGGCTGGAGTACAGTGGCACAATCTCGGCTCACTGCAACCTCCACCTCTCAGGTTCAAGTGATTCTCCTGCCTCAGTCTCCTGAGTAGCTAGGATTATAGGTGCATGCTACCAAACCCAGCTAATTTTTGTATTTTTAGTAGAGATAGGGTTCTGCCATGTCGGCCAGGCTGGTCTCAAATTCCTGACCTCAAGTGATCCGCTCACCTGGCCTCCCAAAGTACGGGGATTACAGATGTGAGCCACTGAGCCTGGCCCTCCATTCCTTAAGCCCTAACTTCCATCCTGCTTCCTCCCTGTTATAAGCTCTTCAGCTTGACATGGCCTCTTCTCCTCTAAAGTCCTTGCTGCCTGTGCCATATGAATGCTCCCTTTGGGACATTTGCTGTTGCACTGAATTACTCTATTATTTTGCAATATCACTTCCAGTTTTGCATGGGATCTCAGCTTCCTTATATGCTCAGGGCAGAAACCCCTGGAAGGCATTTTTAGATCCTCCAGTGCCTCACATGTCCAAATTTTCTCCTTCCCTTCACCAGGAAATCTCTCCAATGTATGGTTTTATATCAGTTTGTCCTAAGAATTCTCCCAGAGATGAAATTGGCTTCTATCTTTCAATGGTAGTGAAACAGCATTTCTAAATGTCACCACTGACTTTTAAACAACTGTCTCTGCTTCTCCTCTTCCCTCTCTACCTGCCCCGTATTTGTATTTGGCCAGGCCCTCTTACCTCTCCCCTCTTTTCTATGTGGCCCTTTCCAGAAGTGGGTGCTGTGTTAATATTTGATCATTTTACTTACTGTCTAAAATCTCCCGTCCCAACAAACCTTTAACCAGATTGGCAAAACTAACTTAAATCTCAAAGCGCTACCACTTTTTCTGCCTATCTCCTGACAGGGATAGTCCCTAACAGTGAGAATGCTGATGTCCAAGGGATACGTTACAAGGCTCACTGCACCATGAGGAGCCCAAGGGGGAGACGTCCACCTGCAGCGATCCCTTGCTTCTGCTATTTTAACAGTTGCCCCAAATAATATTTTTCTGGACTGAAAGCACAGGCCAGGATTCTAGGAACCAGAATGCAAGGCATTCCTATTAATCTGCAAACAAAAAACAGTGGCAAGGAAGGTATTCACACTTACATTGAAAGCGCCCAGAAGAAACAAGGTGGGTTGTAACCCGACTGAAAATATCAATCGTAGAATTGTGGAGGCAATTAAGGCCCGGATGCCATGGGGCTTTGGGAGGGCAATGACGATGGCCAGAGAGATGAGCATGGCTGTCCACAGGAGGCCCGACCAGTGGGGCTCCAGGGTTCCTGCAAGGACAAAACAGGGTTCTCTCACAAATCTGTGCATTCACTGAGTACAGGGGACACACCTAAAACATGCACCATTACAGATTCTTCAATAACTTTTTTGGCTTACGAGTCCTAACTCTCACCTCAAATTCTCTGCCCCATCCATCACCAGCCCCATCAGCATTTTCTGACCTCCAAGCCTTCACACACGCTCCTTCTGCTGGGAAGTTCTTCCCTTCTCGTTCATCTCAGGTCTTAGCTTTGACATCACTTCTTCCAGGAAGCCTGCCCCAATCCCCTTCCTCCCCACAAAAACATGTCAGGAGTTCCCTCCTCCTCCATATTCCCTGCTTCCAGTCATCCCTACAGGACACTATTTCCTAATGGTCAGTTTACTTGTCTCTCTCTCACCCGATTGCACATTCCCCAAGGGAAGTACCTGGTGCCTGGCAGGCACTCACGAAAAGCTTGTTCGAGAAATAAAACTCATGCATGTGTCACACTTCACTCAGAGAAGGCGACGTGGAAGCCTAAACTTAATTTCTATTAAAAGTATGCAAAGGAAAAATGCAGGTCCCCTGCCTGAATCAGATTTCTCCAAGGGAAGGAGAAAGGCAACTTCCGTGTCATGAGCATCATCCTACAATTAGATTATCCCTGCAGTCAAAGAGCTTATACCAATTTTTGTCATCTCTTGCTACTGCAAGTTCTATTTAGAGTGTCCCACGAGACGGCTTGGTTATATAACATGAGCCAACACGGCTAAAAATATAGTTCTGTAAAACACTCATTAAAAAAAAAACACCCCTATTTCAAATGCTGTCACATTTTGAGTCTCCTTCAGATGTAAACAAGCAGCACTACATGATTAAGGCCACTTATATAAAGGAGCTTCACTTCTTCAGAGATGCTGGGATTGTGGCACCATTGGGGAGGAGACACCTCTGCAGGGTACAGCTCTTCCAGCAGCTGCTGGCTGCCCTAGTTCATTGAGTCCACGCCTGCCGGGATTCAGCCTCACTTTAACAACTGTTTCCTCTGCCCAGCCACTTACCTCTTCCCTTTTGAAATCCTTCAAAAGGCAAAGCTGATGGGGAATGGGGACAAAGAGGCAGAGGTTTCTCGGAAATTCAAGAAGTGCACATTGAGGCACATGTGCTGCTTTCCAAGCATTTAACAATTGTTAGACAATCTTGTCAAGCCCTTGACGTTGATGACCATTTATTTAGCCTATTGTCCCCAGTCTACTCTAAAGGAAACTGAGTCTCAGGTGACATTTCTTGCCCAAAGTGATGCAGCAAATGGCTGCAGACCATTTGCCTCTGAAGTCGATGGTCCTTAAACAATATTTTAAAAAATCCATGCATTTTAAGGGTAAAATTTGGTGAATCTTGGCAGTTCATATAGTCATGAAACCACCACATGTAACTGTCACCACAATCAAGATACAGAACATGTTTATCACTTTAAAAGTCTCCTTGTGCCTCTTTGCAGGTGATGCCTTGCCCCATCCCTACCCCCAGTTACCACTGATCTGATATCAGTCCCTATGGCTTTGCACTTTCTAGAATTTCATAAAAATGGGAAAATAATCCTATCAGGTAGTCTTTTGTGCTTGACTTCTTTCACCTAGCAAGTTTTTAAGATGCTTCCAGGTTACCATGTTTGTACTGATACTTTGTACTTTCTATTGCTGAGTATATTATAGTATGGATATATTACAATTTATTTGTCCAGTTAACAGTCAATGAGTTTCTAGTTTGGAGTGATTACAAATAATGCTACTAGAAACATTCACGTACAATTCTTGGAGTGGACATAGTTTCATTTCTCTTGAACAAACATAAAGAAGTAGAATGTTGGATCCTACATATATGTTTAACTTTAAAAGACAATACCAAACTGTTTTCCAAGGTGAATGTATCACATTGCCTTCCCACCAGCAGTATATGACAGTTCCATCTGATCCACAGCATCACCAACACTTGGTAGTGCCCATCTTTTTCATTTGGTCATTCTAGTAGGTTTGCAGTGGAATGGTGTTGTGATTTTAATTTACATTCCCCTGATAACTAGTGATGCTGAGCATCATTTCATGTGCTTACTGGCCATTCATATATCTTCTGTGAAGTGTCTGATCAAATGTTTTGCCCACTGTTTTAACTGAATAGCCTTTTTATTATTGAGTTGTAAGAGTTCTTTACATATTCTGGATATAAGCTTTTTATCAGATATATATTTTGCAACTATTTTCTTCCAGTCTGTGGCTTACCTATCATTTTCTGAAGTGCTTAATGCCATTTTAAATGGACTCTTAAGATGATCTCAGTATCATCAATGTGACCAGTACAAGGTATGTCCCAAATCCTGAAGAGGCCAATGTAAAAATGCTGTCTCCTCACTATAACAGCAGTGTTAAAAAACACAGTGCTAGATTCCAAAAAACCAACTCTAGAAAGACATCTTTGAGACAGTTGGAGAAATCTGAATTTGGACAGGCTATTACAGGATTTGCTGTTAGTTTTGTTAGATATGATAATGGCATGGTGATTATACATATTTTAAAATGTCCTTATAAGTTAGAGATATACACTGAAATATTTATGGACAAAAAATCCAAGATGTCTAGACTTCTTTAAAATGTTTCAGAAAATATAGTACAGGGATAGATGAAACAAGATAGGCCAAATTGTTAAAGTTGGCTGATAGGTACATGGTAGCTCATTATACTGTTCTTTCTAGTTGTGTGTATATTTGACAATTTCAATAATAAAAACATTTAAAAAGTAGTACTACATTTGCTTTAGCCATCATGGCATGCTCACAAATTCAGTAAGCAATCTGAAGCTGCCTGAGTTGCATGCTTTTGAAAGACTGTAACTTGTCAGTTCTAAAACAAAGGTGTGGGGGCGGTGATAGTTTTGAAAAGGAGCTTTTAAGGCCACTGGTTCTTGGCAGTCACAAACCTTGTAAGCCACAGAACCACACAAAATCAGCATACATGATATGGCTGTAATACACATTCAAGAGGGACATTATGAAATCTTGTCTTTAGGATGCAACAAATTCTAACACATATTAGCTCAAAGAAATACTTTCAGGTCAACAAACCAGATCTTGTTTCTAGGCAGGGTTAATATAACCCTTTTCCTGAGGATGGTTAGCAGTGAGTATAGAAAATGCCCTCAATGCATCTCACAAAAGGAAAAAAGAATCCCTCTGAGAGTGAATTGATGCACTTAAGGCAGTATCAGCCACTAGACAATGGCAAAGGCTTCCTTGGGTCAGATCAGCCTCAGGTCAAATCTCCTAGGAACTCTGATTTTTGCTTTTGCTTTTTGTTTAGTCCATCAGCATGAAGTTCTAAAGCCCATGATTCCAAACCAGGCATCCTTGCCTCCTGCAGACCAGCCTGAGTTGATGGCTCATTCAGAATGCCCCATTTTAGAGCTGGAAGGACCCTCAATAGTCATGCCATCCAGGGGATCTCAAGCTTGGATGGGCAAGAAACACATGCTCTGGAGATCTTGACTAGTTTGGCAACTGTTTTTCCCTGGGTTCTTCAGGACTTTCTGAAGCCATATGAAAATTTTCCAACCATGGGCTTAATGTAAGCATCTCTTCACACAGAGGATGACAAGGACTTGCTGAAGTGGCTTGCCCAGAGTGGCTTGGCAAGTGGGCGGCAGGAGTCAGGCAGGGAACTTAAGTCTCTGGACTTCCTAAGTCTAAGAATGCCACGGCAGGAGGCTTGTCACTGAAGGGGGGGAGGGGGGCTGTCAACTCTGTGTCCCCAAAACGGGTCTGAATGCTGCCACAAATGACCGGTGAAGAAAATGGATGTGGTGAATAATAAAATCTGTTTGAAATACTTTTAAGGCAATGGAGAGTAAACGAAAACACAGACAAGGTAAGGGTTGAATAATCTGCTGTGAGGAGCATGACAACTTCCCTGAGGTGAAAGGAGACCTGGGCCTCCTCTGCCACAGCTGGCTGAGCTCCTCACTAGCCCTCTGCCACACATACCTCTGCTGACTGGCTGCTGGGTTAAGGTGGACATCCCCAAGGAGAAAACCTTGCAGCCCTGGGTTCTAGTCAAATGTTTTAGACACCGACATGGGCATTCATGCTTCCTGACATGACATTAAAAAAAAAAATCCCCCCTGGACTTGTGTTTAGATTGTACTTTTGGGTGGTGGGGAGGATTCAAATGGTGCCTTCCATGTAACTTAAGGTCAAACAGAAAAGCTAACTTCTCAAAAGGGTAACTTAGGCATATAAGCATTACATAACATGTCATTGCTTTCAGATTGGTCTTTAAACTGACTTATCACCCACACACGTCTGGTCAGTTGATGTCTGTATGATTAAGCTAAAGAGTGGAGCCTAAAACTTACTCCTGTGTGGTTTTTGTGTCTTATGTTTGGGCTCTTTATCCCATTATGTTTCACACAAGGTGGTTCCTGGCAGGTTGTTATATGCGTATGTGAGGTGATCTATCAAAAAGCTCTGATGAAAAATTTAGCTGGGAGGTGGACCTCCCAGGTGGCCGTTGTGGATGTCAGAAAAGGGGCCGTGAATGTATCACAGAAGGGGAGCTTTGAATGCCTGCCACTGGAACCCCACAAGTGAGGATGCTTCTAGGATGCCATTAATGTGTTGAGGGGCCCCAAATAGCAAAATGCCTCCCTCCGAATTGTCTGCCTTTTCTCAGCAAAATGTGTAGCCTGGAAGGAGATGGGCTGGGGGGAATCCAGAAAGACCATAATCATCATGTTTTGTTATGTGAATAATGGCAGGTAGCTCTTAATAGACTAAACACTGTACAGTCTGCAGTCATTCAAGTCCTGCCTCCCCTGGCAAAAAGAAAAAAAAAAAAAAATTCCAGAGATTTCTTACAAATTCTTTAGTCTGAAATCAATTCCAGAAGTGCGGTGTGGGAATACATATACTGGACTGAGCATCAAGACATCTATGTTTTAGAGTTAGCTCTGCCATTCGTTAGCTACGTGACTTTGGCCTGATCGCTTAACTGCTCTGAGACACAGTTTCCTCATACATAAAACAAGGGGCCTATTAAGAGACTTTCTCACAGGTTTAATAGTATCTAGCTGCTTCTCTTTCTTTCCTGGTTAAAAATAAATGGATAAAAAAGTTAAATTATTTTAATTTAGATTTAAAACTAAATCTGTGGTAACAGCTACAATCTCCTCTTGTCTGAACGTGGATAACTGGGATCCCCCATATTGCACCAATACATCCAGGAACCACAATCGAGATGCAAGTCATAGCCTTCCTGCTGCTTCTAATAGATTTTTTGAAATTAAAGATATGGGTACCTCCTCGGACTCCCTTAAATGGGTAGAAAAATGCCACGAGCAGGTTCATCAGGACGGCCAGGTTAAACGAAATGCTGCTCCAGAAAGACATGTTGCGGGCACACCAGTACAACACGGGCTGGGCTGCAGAGACAAAGGCAAAGCCATGTGAGGTTGGAGACCCCGAGCGGGAACGCCAGGAATGCAATGTGGCCCTTCCACCCGCTCTGCCCCACAAGTCCACTTTTGTTCCCGGTTTTTACCACAACAGTAAAAATGATCGTTTGTTTTGAACTTGGTACATAATGACATCAGATTGGTTTATTTTTGTGTGGAGTACTTACTGGAACAGAAGATGTATTGGGGGTGGAGTAAGGAGAGAGGGAAAAGAGAAAAGTTGGAGCATCTATAAACCCTGTATACCCCAGTCACAGCCATCAGTTACGGAATCTGGGGGTTATCCAGAGTTCACACATTGAGTTCTTGGTTCCCCTTAGGGCTCCGGGACCAGACGAGATGCCTGGAGAGACCCAAGAATTCAATTAGCTTTTTAGAAGTGCAGGGCACTGGGGAAGGGCGAGGGAGATACAGCATTCAGAGTCCGCCCAGCTGGGCCCCAGACTAGGGCTGGTACCATTTCCACATTCCTCTCTGGCTCAACACGCTCCGCTAACACGCCAGTGCCTAAGAGCAAGGCAATGATTCCTTTCCTGGCATTGAGTCATCTGCCATTTCCCTGAAGTTGGATGATCATTCTTGAGGACAGGGAAGCGAGGGGTACAAGTTGCTGACCTGGTGGTCAGCAGCAGAGTTCCCATCTCCAGGGCTATGGCAGAGAAAGAACGTGGCAGCAAAGCCATCACAAAAGGGCAAGAGACAGAGCCACTTCGGACATTGCTGCCACCTTAATCCACCGTTGCCCACAGGTTATCCCATGCTGGCCGGGCATTCTCAGTCTTAGAACAACAAAACACTTGGTTACAGGGGTGCCTTTTTCCCTGAACTCTTTTTCAATGGTGCTTTACACTTAGGATGACGCTCCAAAATAGACATGGTAGGCATAATTTCAGTGTCCATGTCAGAGGCGAAGTTTCCAAAACACAGTCTCATTCCATATCACCCCCCTCCAGAGAAAAGCATGGAGTACGTGAGAATGGATCTCTATCGTATATTTCTTTTTCCCAATGAAGTCATCATGTAACTTTGGGACAGCAGCCAATGACAAATCCAATGGCCCTATAATAATGCTTGTAGCAGCAGCCAAGCCTTTGGGAGCTTCCAACCAAAATAAAATTATGGTGCAATTAAATAGAGCCCTGGGTAATTTATTAATCGCCCATATCATGTTTGCACTTGGTAACAGGCAGTGTTTCCAAACTGTAGAGTTTTAGAGCCATGAGCAATCATCTAGTTTAAAATCCCTCATTGTTTAAACGAGAGAAACTGAGGCTCAGCACAGGGCAGAAGCAGTGGAGATCTTGTTACCCAGGTTAGTGATCCTCTGGGTTCAGCGACAGGGATAAAAATAAATGACCGATGTGACAATTCAATGGAGTAGCCAGCCAGGACCCAGTCAACCACTAGGTAGCAATGTAGTTGTTTTGGGAAGTTGATTGCTGAAGTAAATTTAAGCTGAGACATTTATCTGCTCTGGAAACAACAGCTATTGTGTTTCTTCTGGGACTGAAGCCCATTTCTGATCTGGATATGTAAACTCCAGAAGAGGACAGAAGAGATGAATGGCAAAGAGTTGATAATTGCTGAAGCTGAGTGATGGATACATGGGAATCTGAAATATCCTCTCCACACTAGTGTGTGTATAAAAAGCTCATAAAACGAAGTTGGGGGGAAAAATGGATCTGGTAAAGCTCAATGATGGTCTGTGTAAGCCAGCATTCGCTTCAGAGGGAGTGCTCAGTATCAAATGTGAGTGCGTGCACTGCAGGATATGCTAATATGATTGTAATAAATGGTCTTCAACTATGGCATATAGCTCATAAAACAAACCTTATTTTTACAAAGCTAACATTCTACTTAAGTTGTAGTGTTGTTTTCAACCTGGACAAACATTCAGTACTTCAAATCAATTAGTTATTTATCCAGGTGCAAGAAGATGCTTAGAGACCAATCTTGACATGCAATGTCTTTTATTTCCTGTGGCACACGGAATTATGTCCCTGTCTACCTTTCCAGACACTTCTCCCACTCCCCTTCCCCATATACTCTGCCTTTGTATCCCAATCTAGTGATGGTTCCCGAACACAGCCCGTCCTCTCCAGCCTCTGCACACTCCCTTTGTGTCAATTAAAAAATATGTTCATGAATTATTTGATCCTCTTCCCTCCAAGTGGTACACCTTAATGTCCTTTCCACTTGAGTATGGGCTGGACTTAACAACTTGCTACTAATAAATAAGAGTAGGCTGAAACTGTTGGTTCACGCCTTCTGAGACTAGGTGATATTAATAAACACTGCGGCTTCCTCCTCCTCTTCCTCTCTCTCTCCCTCTCTCTCATCAATAATTTGCTCTGAGGAAATCATCTGCCACGTCACGAGGATGCTGAAACAGACCTATGGAGAGGTCCATGTGGAGGGGAACTGAGGCCTCCTGCTGACAGCCATGTAAGAGCACCAAGGAGCGGACCCTGTAGGTCCACTTACGCCTTCAAATGATGGCAGCCTTGGCTGATATCCTGGCGACAACCTAATGAAAGACCTGAGCCAGAACCATCCAGAGGAGCCACTCCCAAGTTCCTGACCCCAAGAAACTGTAAGAAAATAAACATTTATTGTTTTAAGTCACAACATGTTGGGGCAATTTGTTATACAACAATAAAAAGCAACTAATCTACTTTCTGTGGCAGGCAAAATAATATGCCCCCCTCAAACATGTTGACATGTGAATCATTAGAACTTGTGAATGTGCTACCTTACCTGGCAAAATGGGCTTTGCAGGTATGATTAGGTTAAGGATGTGAGGTGGGGAGGTTGTCTTGGATTATCTGGGTAGGTCCAGTGTGGTCACAAGCATCCATATAGGTGAGAGAGTGAGGGAACAGGAGGGTCAGAGCCACAGTGGCACAGCGTGAGAAATGCTCTACTGGACAATGCTGCTTTGAAGGTGGAGGGAGGGGCCGGGAGCCACAGGTAGCCTCTAGCAGCTGGAAAAGGATATGGCCTTCAGAAGGAACACCGCCCTATCAACATCTTGGTGTTAGGCCAGCGAGAATCTTTTCAGACCTCTGACCTCCAGAACTGTAAGATAATCAATGTATGCTGTTGTAAGCTTCAAGCTTTGTGGTAATTTGTTATAGCAGCAAGGGGAAACAAATACATCTCCCCGTCCCCCAGTCTCTCAGGCTGCATCTATCCAAGTCCTACAGACCTTTCTAGATGCTACTTGATCCCACCTTTTCTCTGAAGCCTTCCTTTCTTGTACTTCCATGTATCAATGCTTGATTACAGCTCTGGTCACAAACAGCTTGGTATTGCAGCCACTTAAAAATATACCGTTGTTGTCTGTCCACTTCAGACAGTAAGTGCCCACAGGAGGAGTCATAGCTTACACACTGTTGAATTCCTCACTGTACCTTATAGCAGGGGTCCCCAACCCTGGGGCCGTGGACTAGTTCTGGCCCATAGCCTGTTACAAACTGGGCTGCACAGAAGAAGGTGAGCAGCAAGCAAGCACTACCGCCTAAGCTCTGCCTCTGTCACATCAGCAAGGGCATTAGATGCTCACAGGAGTGTGAACCCTATTGTGAACTGCACATGTGAGTGATCTAGTAGGCTGTACACTCCTTAAGAAAATCTAATGCTTGATGATCTGAGGTGGAACAGTTTCATCCCAAAACCATCCCTCATTTCCCATACCGCCCCCACAATCTGTGGAAAAATTGTCTTCCACAAAACCAGTCTCTGCTGCCATAAAAGTTGGGGACTGCTGCCTTACAGCATGTTTTCTACTTATCAGGGGCTAAAAGTTGGTTGGATCAATATACCTGCTACATTATAGCAAAAGGTGGAGTGCTGTGATCCTGGATTGGCAGGGCAATTTAAATAACCACAGCCTAGGGCATCTCTTGGTAACATTCTTTCCTAGTTTTTTGTTTGTTTGTGTTTGTTTTAGAGGAACAGGCCTTTACTGGAAGGCTTGGACTCCACATATACTTATGAGTGGGATAATCACACGGGAAAACCCCATGCAAGAAAGTGTCAGCATATTCAACTCTGCCTCGATTTCCTCTTTGTGTCTCTTCTCATTTTCCTAGCCCAGAGTTTTCACTTCACTGGGGATAGGATTTTCAGGAGAGGATGTCAGAGGAGGATGGTGAGAGAGAGGATGTGAGTGCACAGAAGAGTATGTGTGTGTTCTAGTGTAAATAAAGCAGGGAAGAGAGTTTATGAAGCGCAGAGCAATTGCATATTTTAATCTTGCAGAAGAAAATACTAAGCCCCATCAGTCTTAGACAGACCTCACTACATGTCTGAGTCCTAGCTGCAGATTTACTGAAGAAGAGATGATCCTCTGCAATGCATTCAGGAAAAGGTAAAACAGCTAAATGAATGAGCCTGAAAAATGGATTCTGCAGACTTATTAGAAGAGATATAAGCTACTTAGAGGGGAAAATGCATTTCATTTTAATTATATTTCTGATGAGTACATTTCTCCCTCCCCAAGTGTGCAAATCATGGTTAATTCAGTTATTATTTTCAGTTTCTCTCTTACCAGCAGATAGTTTTGAAGCCAATTAAAATCTTTCAGCTGACAACTGCAGTTGTGCTTAAGTTTCACTGAAATGAAAACTGTTTTTCAAAAAAAAGAATGACTGAAATAAGGAAGGTATTAGCTACAATGTAATATAAGTCTTGGAATAATGACCATGCTACAATCCATCAATTAGGTCATCTTAATCCCTCACTTCACAGGTGAGGGTCTGGGAGCAGTTAAGCCATTTGTCCCAGGGCCACAGAGCCTGTGGGGTGCAGAAATGGACTAGAACTCAGATTCACCACTCTTTGGGGCTGAGGGCCCTCCTACTATTCCAGGCTGGAGACAATATCTCATAAAAAGGGCTAAGGAGATATCTCATCTCACCAGAAAAGGTGAAAACCTTTTTGTCATCTCCAAAATAAGCCTTTTGGAGAACCTATAAAATACATACATTATACATAAACATTTCATAAAGTAATTTGTAGAGAATGAATGTATCAGTGTATGTGTCTGACCAATTTCATAGACCAATTTCATAGACACATATGCGGATAAGGCTAAAATTACAGCTTATTAACTATCATGGAGGTTTGGATACAAAAACTCAGGACTGGCCAGGCACAGTGGCTCACGCCTGTTATCCCAGCACTGTGGGAAGTCCAGGAGGGTGGCTCACAAGGTCAGGAGTTTGAGACCCTCCCTGGCCAACATGGTGAAGCCCCATCTCTACTAAAAATTAGCCAGGTGTGGTGGCATGCTCCTGTAATCTCAGCTACTCAGGAGGCTGAGGCAGGGGAATTGCTTGAACCCGGGAGGCGGAGGTTGCAGTGAGCTGAGATCGCAACAGATACCTTTTCTTCTATGTAACATAATAGCTAGAAAAATGAGGATGAAATGGGTGGGGTCTATGTCTCCCTTTCTGGGGGCAGGGTATCTTTTTCCCTCTTATTGCCCAAGCATGGTGCTCTGTAAAAGTTTCCATGTTCATGAGGATCCTGCAGCTGCAAGACTCTTTGAGGAATCTACAGGAGGCCATGAGGACACTCTGATACCAGACAGAATTGCACCTGTGTCTCCTGAGGTCCACACCGTGGAGGGCACAGAGGCTGGTCTGCTAATGGTCCCCTGGCCCCTCGGTCAGACACTAGACATGGAGCTGGCTGAGGGATGGATTTGGCCTGGCCAGACTTTTTGTAATGTTTGAAAGTGCTGCATAGGGAGGTGCCCCTTAGAGATGAGCAAGAGTACAGCGGGGCTGGAAGTGAGGTGGGAATGGGACCTTTGGGCGAACCTTCTTGCACCGCCTTCTCTGCCATTAGCCTAATCTAGGGATGCAGGCAGGTAGGGAGAAAAGGGAAGAAAAACACAGCGCTGGTCCGTGCCTGCTCAGATTGACAGCATCACGGAGAAGACGAAAGCTCTGGGAAACTGACCTCCATTCCAACACGGCTGTTCTCCACCCCAGCTCTACCCCTCAGAAAGAGCTCAACACATCACAACTATAGCTGGAATCCAGCGTTTCAAATAAAAAAATCTGGCTCCTGATGAACAGATAGAAATGAAGCACGATCCTTTTTAAGTTGGTCTCAACAGCAAGCGCCAAGCACAAGGCTGGTACTGAAGGATCACATTAAAACCCCAATGAAAACCAAGAACAGAGAAGCCCCCTGGGGAAGCCCTACGAATGTGTTTCAGATGAGTAATTTCCACCTGACTGGCTGGGATACTCAATGGGACTCGCTGCTGAGCAATGATGCATCTTATGTGGCAAATGATTCCACTGCCTATAAAACAATTTAGTCTAAAATCCAAGCTACCCCGTAAAAGGGAAAATACCAGAGTCTCTGGAGCAGGTGTGCTAGTAAATGAGCCAGCAAGCAGTGTGAATTTCCTGCTCAAGTGAACCATCCTGTGAGCTCAAGGGCCCGGGCTTTTCCCTTTTCATTTTCTAGATAGAGATACCAAAAGAGGCATTCAAAAAGTCTTCCATGGAGCTTTCCAATCCAATCAACTCAAATTCTGATGCAGGAAGCCTTTTCAGGGGAGTTATCATACTTTGGCTCGAGCCCACTGATCAGCTGCAAAAGTGGTTATGAGTTCCTGGTGGAACAGAGGTGCAAAGTATCATAAATGATACTAGCTTTGCTCCTGCTTGGAAATAAACGCACCATCAAGCCCAAGTTTGTGAAATCCCAGAACTGTGTCTCTCTGTGTTGTTGCTGATGCGTTGGAACCCACCTCTCAGTTTCTTCTGCCAATTCATTTCATTGAAGAGGTCTTCAGACCGCAGAAAGAAATCGTTGATTTTGCTGCCTTGTTCGTCTCTCTCTGTAGTATAGTAAATTCGCAGTTTCGACTCCTTGGTTAGGAATTCACATATGCTGGGCACAGGAAAGACTATCTGTTCCATTGTCCGGTCTAATCTGACAATCTAGGATGAAAAAGTGGATGAGATTAAATATTCATCTTTGAAATCTTTTACTAAGACTATTTGCTCCTGGTGGTAGACTCGGTGGTTAAGATTGAGTATAATATGATCTCTGATTTTATAACCCCAGACTGGGCTGTCTGTCTCAGATTTATATAAAAAATAGCTTGGGTAACCCTGGAAGAATATTTTCCTAACTTCGGACCCATTAATTTTATTTATTTAATTTTAAATTTTTTTTTTTTGAGACAGAGTACAGAGTCGTGTTGTGTCGCCCAGGATGGAGTGCAGTGGCATGATCTTGGCTCACTGCAACCTCCACCTCCTGGGTTTAAGTGATTCTCCTGCCTCAGCCTCCAGAGTAGCTGGGACTACAGGCATGCACCATCACACCCATCTCTCTCTTTTTTTTTTCCTCAGTATTGACAGGGTTTTACTACATTGGCCAGACTAGTCTCAAACTCCTGAGCCCAGGTGATCTGCCCACCTCGGCCTCCCAAAATGCTGGGATTACAGGCGTGAGCCACTGTGCCCAGCCTAATGTTTATTTTTTTTATCTAATCCAAGACAATGATAAACCCATTAATTTTTTTTTTTTTTTTTTTGAGATGGAGTCTCATTTTGTTGTCCAGGCTGGAGTGTAGTGGTGCAATCTCAGCTCACTGCAACCTCCACCTCCCGGTGAACCCATTAAATTCTAATGTGACCAACTTTTATCTGGATCAATTTACTCTGTGTTTTGTATGCATATTCACATGAGGCTGGTGCTGTCCCTAGAACTTTCTGTAATGATGGAATGGTTCTGTGTCTGTCCTATCCACAAAGACAGCCACTAGTCACATGTGGCCCCAATCACTAACATGTGTGGCTAGTGCAACTGAGAGGCAGAATATTTAATTTTATTTAATTGCATTTAATAGCCATACATAGCTAGTGACGATCATGTTGGAGAGTACACTGCTAGGCAGTGTTGTAAATCTCACCAAAGGCACTTTCTCAAATAGTAACATTGGTTATTTTTCCTAGATGGGAACTTTAAAAAGAGACCTTTGGTTATATCCAGTTGCAGTGACCTCCTACCTCTTGTCAAAGGATCTAAACCATACAATACATGAATCAACATGCCTATTTACCTCTGGGGTAGCACTCGCTGTTCTTTACCCTGGCTATGTTTGGGCCCCAGGGGTGGACACCGTGCAAGTTTCCTCCATGCCCTTTCTAGACTGGCTCAGCCCCCAGAGAGGAGGAACTCTGGTTGGATTGTTCAAATTCTAGCACACTTGATTGTGTCATAGTCCTGGGAGGCAGTGATTTCAAAAGGGCTATGGGTTACAGTACAGTAGAGGCACAAGCCTCTCTTCTTCCTCCTCAGAGGTTGGAGAAGTCAGGTGAGGCCCAGGATGCAACGTGCTCTACAAGAAGAGCTGGTTCGAGCTCTCCCAAAACCTTTGTTCCCTGATACAGCAAGAGAGGTGACTCAGGTCAAGTTGTAGTGGGAAACTCTCTTAGAGGTGAGACAGGTTCCCACAGTTCTGCCTCCATAAGTTCTGGGGGGTGTGTTCTTTAGACCAGTGGTTCCCAAATCTATGTGGAGATCAGGCTGGTTACCATACTGATTCTTGTCCATAACCCAACCCCATTTAACTGGAATTGTGGTGTGGGGTCAGTGACCAGAACCTGCACACAAGCAGCTCCCCCGACGATTTTGGTGATTGCAAGGATCAGGGATCACCTCTGCCATCTCCTGCTATCAAGAGCCTGCCTGCTTCATATAGTCAAGTGGACTATGGACAAGTGCTTCTTTTCACTGAAGGAAGATCATCTGGGTCCAGGAGGGAAAGGAGGAGTAGACAAGGAGGCCTCCTGACAAGAACTGAGTTCTAGGCTCCAGGGCCACCCAGCCTAGTTCCCCAGAATGAAGACACTGGGTCTGCATGGAAAGCCCCCGGTAGTAACAAAGTGTTCCTGCCTTTGCGTCGATCACTCCCTAAGGAAACCTGAAGAGGTGGGTAGCTGGCCAAGGGCAGGATTTGAGAGCTAGGGCATGGCTGGTCACTTCTCTTTATCATTTAAGATCTACTCATAACTCGTTTTCAGTAGATTTAGAATCTGGAGTCAGAAGAACATATTCCAGTCCTTCTACGATCCCTCAAAAGCTAGGTGACCTTGTTCACACCTCTTAAACCTGATCGAGTTTCAGGCTTCTCCCCAGTGAGTCAAGGAGCTCAATGAGATACTCTCCAAGGTCCTTTTCTCCTCTGAAATTCTGTATCACAGACATCTAAAGCTTGCCTTTTAAGGGCTCTAGAGGACAGAGCTGGCCTTTCAGTCAAGCTCCTAGGCATTAATGAAAAATCAAAGATATTTGCTCACATACACTGGCATGGTTGGCTAATCAGTGAAATGATGTGTTTTATTAGGATAGCCCAGAGACCTGAGACATCAGGTCAGAACACATTCTTGAAAAGTCTCCATCATGAACATTTCATATTGCCCAAAGGAGTCTGTCCAGTCTTTACAATCTTTGTGCCAACACTGATACTGAACTTGTGCATTTCCTCATTAGCAAAACAAAGCACATCATTCCTTACTGCTCAAAGCCTGTAGAGAGAAGTCTGTGTTCTCTTGGACTCTAAAAGACAGTACATGTACAAATGGACCCACAGGCTCAGGGACTAGACGGATTAGGATGAAAATTCCAGCTCTGCCACTGGTGGCTGGAAAAGTGACACAGCCTCTATGAGCCTTATTTCACAGCTCCCCATTTGCAAAATGGAGATATACCAATGACTTTGCAGAGGCTTTGTTTTTTCGTTTCTTTCTTTCTTTCCCCCAGAGAAAATTATAAAGCTTTATTGAAAGAATTTAAGTCACATTTTCAATATAACAGCAACATGTGTGGCTTCAGTTTGTCTTCTTTTTAACTTACGGCTGCCCAGCACCTGCTTCTGTAATTTTAGCATTCTCTAGATTAGGTGGAGTCTCCCCTTTCACATGATGGCCATCTCCACACTCACAATGCATCATGACACCTTTTTTTTTTTTTTTTGAGATAGCTTGCTCTGTCGCCCTGGCTGAAGTGCAGTGGCATGATCTCGGCCCACTGCAACCTCTGCCTCCTAGGCTCAAGCCATTCTTGTGCCTCAGCCTCCCAGGTAGCTGGAATTACAGGCATGTGCCACCATGCCTGGCTAATTTTTTTTTTTTTTTTTTTTGTATTTTTAGTAGAGAAGCGGTTTCACCATGTTGGCCAGGCTGGTCTCAAACTCCTGACCTCAAGTCATCTACCTGCCTCGGCCTCCCAAAGTGCTGGGATTATAGGCGTGAGCCACTGTGCCCAGCCACATGACACTTTTTTTTTTTTTTAAACACAGATCTGATTGTAGCGCCCTCCTGGGGAAAACTCTCAGATGGTTCCCCATTGCTCTGGGGATGCAGCCCAGACTTCTCATAAGGTTGGTTGATAGGACCCTGTGAGACCAGGGCTGCCTGCCTTTCCCTTCGGATCTCCGTCTGCACTGAACTCTAGGCCCTGAGCCTTGAAGCCTTGCTTAGCCCCTCCGGATCACCTAGAATCTTCCCACCTCTGGGCTTTCGCTTGCTGTTATCCCCTACGTCTGAAAAGTTCCTCTTGCTAGTCTCTACCTGTTTCATCCCTCTGCTCTTTAGGGTCTGGGTTTTGATGGCATTTCTTCAGATAGGCCTCTGTGAGCACCACGATCTACAGCAGGTCTCTCTGCTGAACTTTCTTATGATGCCTCCCACCTGTCCTCGTTAATTCGTGATGAATGAGAGTTGCTCAGTGTCCTCTTCCCCACCGGAGCACAAGCAGCAATAATGACTGTCTTGGCCATGGGATGTCCAGCACCCAGCCCAGGACCTACCCTTGTATCTCACACAGTACACACTCATATTTCTATTGCTCAGATGAATGAATGCACGCCAGCCCCAGAGCAGGGCATTGCACACTAATGCCTCAACACAACCCCATGCCCAGAGTTTACTCAGCTTTTACCTCTATCTGCGCCGTGTGCTTGGCATAAAACTCCAGAGCTTCATCTCCATCCACTTGGCCACCAGGTTTCAGCATGCTCTGAAGTTCTTTGTTATGCCGAGCCAACTAGAATACAGGGACAGAGATACAGGAGGTTGGTGTCTCTTCACAACAGGAACACAGAAACTCCTTTCTAATGTTAGGTATTAAAAAATGCATAATAACCAGCAGCAAGCCGAAGGGCAAAGGTGCCACGAGGCTTGCTCCATCTGGCGTGCTGTGCACAGGTGCTATTTTGGGAGCTTGGTAGAAAAGCATGGAAAGCTTGTGACCACACATGGTTCCACTTTCCCCCGATGTCGTTAGCCAGGCAGGAGGGAGATGGGGCTTTCTGTGTAGCCTAGGGAGCCTCCATTCGGAATGTTCAGACACCTTCTCGGTGGCAGATGTGGTCATGGAAGGGAAAGGGGGCAGGAGACTGTTTGAAATTCTTTAACCAGTGGGGGGTAACAGGGACCCACCAACCTCGGGCCCAATATCATCACTGTTGTGTATCTGGTTCCCATACCTGAGTTTAAAAGAGGTGGACGGGACAGGAAACACAAGGCCCCAGCAGGGTTACAGCCTGCTTCTACCCACCAAAAGCTCAAGGCACATCAGCATCCAAAAAGAGAAAGGCTCTTCAAAAACCTAGCCACTTGGAAAGAGAATTATGAAATATGGCATTCTGGTGCCAGGGCATAAAGTATTGCTGTATCCCCAAAAAAGGAAATAAAAGGAAGTCATAAGGACAAGTTCCCACAGATTTCCAAATGCAATATGCAAGGAAGCTGAAGTTTATTTCTTTAGATTGTTAAGACAGGCTCATCAATATTTATAAAAGCCTAAGACTCCTTTCAACTGTCTCCAGACAGAGTCATAAACCATCCAAGTGTCACTGCTTGGGGGTGAATGCCTTTAAGAAACACGGGAATTTCCAACTACATGACCCTATCACTGTGGAAAAATGGAAACGTCCTGGAACTCTGCACACTGGGTCAGGCTGCCACAAGCACCTGTGAGCCGCAGTCTCAGGAGTACAGACAGTCCTAGGTTAAAGTCATAAAGGAAAAGCAAGACCAGGGGCACCCTCCAGCTTGGAATTTTGGACCTATAGGGAAGCAGCACCCGGAGGAGGCACAGGAGAGGTGATACCTGATGAGCTAATATGTAGATGTTGTGCCCCACGTTCCTGGGGGACGCCGCTCCATCCTCACCGTTTTCTCCATCCTCAAATTCCACTTCACCTTGCATGTAGGCTTTCTTGATCACTTCCACCTGCAACAAGAGCCAAGAGAACAAAACTCCTGTTTCAAGGAAGACCCACACAGGACTGGATGGACAGCACGCACGCTGGCTGTCTCCCCTCCCAGGGAAAAGGCTGCTCTGCACTCTCTCCTATCAGGCTTGGATACAGCCTCAGAATCCTTCATGACACTGGCACAGGCAGTCAACACCAATCCACCTCTCCTGTCGTGAGAAATGAAACTCACTCACTCTACTTAGACCAAGAGACATGCTGTGGCTGGTTACTGCCCTTCTTCTTTACAAGGGAGCAATGGCTTTCAAGTGCCTTGAAACAATAAATATGATATGAATGCAGGCTACAAGCCATACTTTTCCTATCTCAACATTTCCTCCCACCAACTCTCCCTACTCCCAGCCCTTTGTCATTTCAGGAAAACCTAATAAGAAGTCTATTCGCATTGAAGAATAGCTGGTGAAACTAGTTTTTCATTTTCCAAATTTTCCAGGTCCCGCACAGTCTACTCCAAATGAAAATAACAGCATGAACTAGTATTACCTACTGAGTACCTACTATGTGCCAAGGACTGTGTCTCAGTGTTTAACATTCTTTCAAAAAAATGTAATGATCACAAACATTTATAAGGTATCAGAGATGCCCCTTCTTTCTTTGAGACAGGGTCTTGCTCTGTCACCACTGTCAGGAGTGCAGTGGTGCAATCATGGCTCACTATAGCCTTGACCTCCCAGGCTCAAGTGATCCTCCTGCCTCATCCTCTCAAGTAGCTGGAAGTACAGGTGTCCATTACCATGCCTGGCTAATGCTTTATTTTTTTATAAACACAAGGTCTCACTATGTTGCTCAGGCTGGTCTTGAACTCCTGGACTCCAGTGTTCCTCCCACCTCAGCCTCCCAAAGTGCTGCAATTACAGGTGTGAGCCACTGCACCTGTCTCCTTATTTATTTTTTTAGTGGATGAGGAAAGAGTTAAGGAGATAAAATAACATTCCTAAAGTCACAGGTAGTGAGCTGGGATGTGAACTTGGCTCTATTACCCTTCACAGCTGCATGACTTGGCTCCCAGACGACCACACACTTGGCTCATCTCATGGTTTGAGCACATTTCTCAGAGCATTTCTGTGCCTGTCTGTTCCCTCAAGTTTCTGTCTCCAGTTTCTTGAGAGCAAGGACTGGGTCTGCTCATATCTGAATCCTTCCCCTAAGACCCTCCGCAATGCCCAGAACAATGTAGGGTGTGGCCGACATTTATCAAATGAACACATCATTCATGATTGAATCATTTAAAGAAGAAGAAGAAAGAACCTTCAACCTCTAATTTGCACTAAAAATTATAATTTTCTTTGATGATTCAGTGGGCATTTCTGCCTCCCCCATTGCCACAAGGCCATGCCCATGAATTATTTGTCATTATCTAATACCAAAGGCCACATATTTCAGTACTGACACCAAGTCAGGCCCTGGAAGTAACGATGGAGACAAGAGAGCCTCACTCTCTGAGCTCGTTTCCCTGCCAATTCTCTCCAATACCAAATCGAGCAGACAACATGTTGCACGCGATTTGAGGCCAGGAGCATACACACGTATGTATGCACACATGCATGTACACAAACGTTCTATTTGGATTCCTAGAACAGTGTTTGTTCCAGGAAGCCTGACTCTTCCTATGAGCCAGAATGATGTTCTCCAACCACCAGGGGGCTGCCCAAGAGCCGGTGCCAGTCACCGCACTGGGTGTTGACATTTTTCCCACCTGAGATAGGTCAGAGAGCTGGGGCATGTTCTTGACTCCTGGGAAGCCGAATGGGGTCCCTGCGTAGTCATTCCATCCCTGCTCAAGTATGACAAGCCTTGCCTCCCCAGTGACCCCGAGTTACGTAAGCTTGTTATGTAAACTCAGAGAAGCCTTCCATCTCGGGCTGAGAACTTACTCCCTGACCTCAGAGATCAAAGAACTGGGCTGCTCTTAACTTTATTTAAAAGTGTATATAAAGGGACTTTTGCCTGGCCCCCAAGTGCACATTCAGGTCACCAGGAGGCAGAAATGTTTTGGTGCCCTCATTTAAGTCTGTCAGTTACAGTTTATTTGCGTGGAAAAAAGCCCAAATAGAGAGCACTGCCCTCAACTCATGTCACTGTCTCTGAAAGCTGCTCATCTCACAGCCTGCAACACTCTCTCAACCTGCAAGTCACAGCCAATTGTGACTATCACCCCTCAAAAATAAACCAGATCATGTTTTCTTTAAAAGAAACAAACAAAAAACCCAAACGTCAGCAACCAAAAAACACTTCTGTAGCTCAGACTCTTGGCACCAAGAAGAGACATGAATTCTTCAGCACTGGACAAAGATATGGCTCAAATACCAGCAGCAAACGAGGAAAGAGAGGAAAAGGAGCTTCCGTTCACTAAGGGTGTATCAGGTGCTAGGCACTGTGCTAGGGCTTGACATGAATCTTCTCATCTAGTCTTCAAAGCAACCCTCTGGACTAGGTATTCTTATTATTATCGTCCTTTTATGGATCAGGAAAGTACAGCTGAGAGAGGTCCAAGCAGGTGCCTAAGGTAACACAGCAAAACAGGCAGAGCTATGGACTTGAACTCAGGTCTGCTGGGTTCCATAACTACACTGTCCCCCATGAGGGAAAAACAGGGAGGGAGGCTTCTCCACGTGGTTTGCGCCAAAGGGAGAAGGTAAAATAGCACGTATTCAATATCATATAGGTTGGTACAAAAGTAATCGCGGTTTTTGCCATTACTTTCAATGGCAAAACCATGATTTCTTTTGCCATTGAAAGTAATGGCAAAAACCGTGATTACTTTTGCACCAACCAAAATATTTCACTTCTCTCTCAGTCAGAGGCCTGAATTAAATGTTCCCTTTATACTTCTGACTTTGGGAACCTTCAAGAAAGCTCCAGGAAGCAGATCCTCTGCTCTGTCCCACATATCACTGCAATGCTCCTTGGTGCTACCATCAGATCCATCACCCAACTCACCAGTTCCTTGGGCCTCATGTTATAAAGTATCCTCTCTGCGTTTTCACTGTCGTGCCTGCTTTCCATGATGGCCAGGAGTAACTTCGAGGCATTGTTCTAATTGGAGAAACAAAGGGAGAGGAAATGTAGAGGGGCTGCTTGGGGGCCCGGCCTGAATGCAGGTGCCAACTGACACATGTGAAGCATCCTGGCTAAACAGACGAACATTTCACCCCATGAGGAAGCTCGGGGTCAAGTACATCAAAAGCTATCTGCGCCAGGCAGAGAATGTCCCCCCTTCAGACCCCAGATACACGTGTAGAATCTGACTTGGGACAAAGAGGCACATATTTGTTAGGGCACGTGTGTTATGCCCTAATGTCAGCTGGTACAAGTCCCAGAAGAAATTGGGAATTTACACATGGATGCTTATCGATACACTGTCACCCTCATGGTGACAGCGGTCAGGAAGAAGCTGCTGCTACATAGATCCATGCTGCCTTCAGGGCAGGGCCTTGCAGGCCAGAGAAGACAGGTAATAAAGGTAATTCGTCCCTGTCCTAAAATATTTCTATTAGCTCTCATAACCCCTAATATAATGAGTACATCTGACACTAGTTAACAAATGTGACCCAAAGGAACAATATATGCAGGCCAAGCCACAATTTCCCATTACATTGAAAAACACCCATGTTCGCACCCCACATTCTGTACTTCCTGGCTTGACTTCGTTTTAGGCCCTGGGTCTATGATAATTTGTATGCTTCTTTATGTACAGGACTTGAAAGTTGTCTTTTTGTTTTGTTGGTTTTGGTTTTGGACAGTGTGAGCGGTCTTATTTCTTCCCCTAGCTTAGGTCACAGCAGTTGAGTCAGGATATCATGCTATCACAGGGCACCAATTTCTATAATCATCCACAGATCACTGAATTAGTTGAAAAAGTCACTAAAATGCTGACCAGGAACATATGGACTTCTGTTTATTTTGGACTTTCTGAGGAATGGTAGCCAGGTATGAGCTTGAATGTGTTAAAATTAATTCTAAAACACAATTTGTCAAAAGGATTTAAAAATAACAGAAAAAAGTCCATTTAAACCACACACCCAAATCGACTGTTAGTGTGGACTCTCAGTTCTAAATAGTAAAGAAAAAATAAATGCCATTCCCACAGGTTTCTGTGTTCCCATCTTTCCTAATGACCTTTCCTATGACATCCTTCATGCAATGAATACAGCTCAGCCTTTCAGCCAAAACCCTGTAGTTCTAGGCTCTTTCATGATAATGATGAAGTGCTCGCTGCTGCGGATGGCACACAGAGGACAAATCTCAACATGCCCTGACATGGGAACAGTTAAAAAGGAAATGTGTCCAGAAAGGCTAACATGTTTTGAAATATACTTTAGAAACCTGATGCCTGCAAGTTCAATTGTTAAAACTGAATCATGGGATTCTCTGAGAATCTTTGGAATCCCTACATAGAAGCGAGGATTTTTTCTGGGTATACTTTAGAAGTCAAAATCAGGAATGGTATATCAATTTCTCAAATATCCAAAAGGCCAGCTTGGAAATGCTGCAGGTTTAGCACCTAGAAGTCACGATTTTCACTCCGTTAAGCTGTTTGAATAACAGGGAGTCCAAACGTCAGTGGGGCTTCCACATCAGTCACCTGCAGTCCCGCATTTGTACACAATTCAGAGAAGCTCAGCAGAGGCCTGCAGGCACATTTTTGGTTTGTGTAATTTTCCTTATTTTAAACCAACATTAATAACCACCCTTCTGCTAAATCAGTGACAGAGAAGAAAAAGGTATTTCCTTGATTAAATAAAAATACATGGGGTGTGTGTGTGTGTGTGTGTGTGTGTGTGTTTGGTCCTAGATAGGCTTATTTGTACTATTCTTCAACTGGCCCTTTTCCCTCAAATGGGGAAAAATCAGAAACCATAGAAGGAATGGCGTTTCCATTGTTTCTCTGTTTGTGACTTTCAGAACCAAGGCGTTTAGTACTCGATGCTGTTGGAATTGATTTCTCAGCTTTGAGCAAGGAATCTTCATTCCATGTGACCTAACATTTCAGAAGCTCCTATCCCCTCATGAGACCCTTATGTGGAAGAGAAAGGGTGAAGTTCTGCATCATAGTCAGCACTAGCAACTTGGGTCATTCATTCAGTTTAAAGAACTATCTTTAATATTTAGTCTCATGACTAACTGACCATGTACATGTGCCAAGGCAAAACACAAAAGCGACTGTTTACAAATGACTGTCTTTTGCTTTTAGTTCCTACTTGCCTTCAGTTCTAACACAAGGTCCATCCTCTTCTTTCCCAAAGGATTGATATCATTGAGGATCAGGGCTGTGATGATGTCAATGCCATTGGATTCATGAGTGGCTATGCAGTTCTGGGCAAAGACACACACAGACATTTACACAAATGCTGGTCATAAATCAGACGTCAAAGGCCAACAGGCTGAACTGCTATTTCAACACAATGCTTACCACTCCCAGTAATGTCTCTAGGGGAGAGCTGCAAATTTTCCGTGAGAAAGTGGTAAGAATAAAAGACAGATGAAAATCTCTAGTTTCAGAATTAACAGTAAACAGTAGGAAAGTCCCCATGCACTGTAACTGATAAATTGGTCGTGTCTAATCCAAATCATGCAGCACAGTTGGCTTTTGTTCTTAAAGGAAAATATGGTGTATGACTGATTCTGGGTTCTGAACCCTTTTTCCCCTTTCAAGGTGTGTTCCATTCTCTCTAAATCACTCTTTTCGTATTTTGTACTTTAGCTTAAGGCTTAAGCTTGGAAAGCAAGTTTCCTGTTTAAGGCACACAATATCAAAATTAATCATCTGCCCCCAGGTAACATCTCTGTTTGCAGCACAATCCACTCTGATCTGTTCCTTTCAACAGGCCTCTATTTGGCAGAGAAGCAAACTTGAGGTAATAAGGAAATTCACTTAGATGTCAAATAAAGCCTTTCCCCATGCCTGTTGTATTTTTTTGTTCCTTTTCATTTTAACTAGGACTACACCATCTGCTTCATGAGGGAACCGGGAGAGGAAAGTGCATCTCACAAAATGCTATTCTCACATTCACAGACAACTGAGACCAGGTTTTTAATAGACAATGAGTTGTCTCTTATAAACCGTTCTCCTCTGAATGAAGGGCCTGGCTCCCCAAGTCACACAAGTAACCTTCCCTGGCTGCTGGGTTTAGCACTGACCATTTGAAAGCTCAGTCATCCCTCTCCAGTCAGGATGAAGCTATAATTTGGGATTAAAAATCATACTTGGCCGGGCACGGTGACTCAAGCCTGTAATCCCAGCACTTTGGGAAGCCGAGGTGGGTGGATCACAAGGTCAGAAGTTTGAGACCAGCCTGGCCAATATGGTGAAACCCCATCTCTACTGAAAATACCAAAAAATTAGCTGGGTGTGGTGGTGCATTCCTGTAGTCCCAGCTACTCAGGAGGCTGAGGTGGGAGGGTTGCTTGAGCCTAGGAGGTAGGTCAAAGCTGCGGTGAGCTGAGATCACACCACTACACACCAGCCTGGGAGACAGAGAGACACCATCTAAAAAAAAAAAAAAAAAAAAAAAAAACATACTCAACCTGGCACAATGCAAAAACTCACAAAATCCTTAAGATGCCATGTATAAGCAACGACTCTACTCAAGACAAGAAGTTACTGGGTTGTACTCCCAAAATATACCTCTTTGAGAGACCAAAGTCAAGACTATCTGGTCTTTCTTTTCCCTGAATGTCCATGATGTTTAAATCTCAACTATAAATGTCCTTGTATTACTTTCAAGCTGTCTCACGTGTAGTAATTTTCTTCTCTCTAGCTAGGCTTAAACGTCCTTCGAGTAGTCACTCTTTGAAATCCCCTAGTATTTAAAATAGATCACTGTCTTCTGGTTCTCATTTAACTCTTGCTTTATTGCCTACTCCTAGAAGTCAAGTTGAATAGTTGGACATTCAAACCAAATCAAAGGAAGCCAAACCTAGGCAAAGAAAGAGACCACAGACTGCCCCTCCAATGCCTTTCATTAGGAAGGTTCTGAAGTATCATGAAACACCATGGCTATTTCTCAACTGCTGGAAGACAGCCTCCTGTCCTACTGACTCCCTAGGCCAACGGGCACAGGCTTCGTGATGTCTGAACTAGTTTCTTCTGTCAACATTTCTAAAATAGGACACTTTTTTTCCCCATCCCAAAACAGAAATTTAATTACCTGGTTCTCATGGCAAGGTCCTTGACAGTATTCGGTCAGACTTTCCAGGGTTTGGTTGATAAGTGCTACGTTCTTTTCATTTATATACAAGCCCAGAAGACCAAGGCCTCCGGTTGTGCTTCCACAAATACAGTCTAGAAACTGCAGCGTCTCACATACCAAATTGTAGTTGGTCTTGTTATTTTGGCAACGGAGGAAGTTCTGCAATTGAGTAGTCCCCAGGTTAGGGGAGCAAAGGCAGAGAAAAGAGGGAAACGTTATTCATCCTGCCATTTTGATAGCCTCTCATAGGTTGGTAATTATACAGAGAGATGCCACGTGGGAGAGCATGGAAGAGTCAGTGTACCCCCCGCCACCACGATGATAAACCCATGGACTTGGTGTACGGCAATGGCCCTCAACAATGCAACCTGCTCTCCAAGGTGTCAGTATACGGAATGCAGTGCAGTTGACTCCTGTCATCTTTTTGAGTCCTCATCTCTCCATTCACTTCTTACCCCTTCCTCACTCCTGCCCACCCCAACTTCCATCAGGTGTTAAGTTCAGAGGCATCTGACATTTCCAAGGGCAGTGGTTTTGTTTAAAGATGATGGTGTGGTCTGAGTGCTGAATGCCCGGAGCCCAGCGCTGGGGACGGTTCACCATAAAATGGGGGTGTGATTAGCTGGCTTACTCCGAGTGCCATGTGGAGGGAGCCTAGATTACTTGTTTGACCATTTCTGTGATTAAGGGAAGGAGTGAGTGTGAGTAAATGTGTGTGTGCTTATGCGCATGTGCCTGAGCAGGTATTCTCCAGGTGAGTTCCAAAGGTAAACAAGAGGCACAGATAGGAGCAAGACACTTCCTCAACAAAATTTAAAAAGCCACATTCGCCCAACTTGAGAAATAGAGTATTTTAATGAGGAGATTTTTTTCAGAGGCTCCAGTAATCTGTTCTTAAAAAGAAGCAAAAATTAATTATGTATATTCTCTTTCTCAGTTACCAAAGCGACATGGTTACTGTAAAAACTGGGCAATATGAAAAGATAAAATGGACATGATCTTTGACCCAGTAATTTCCACTTCTATGAAGTATTCACTTCTACTCACAAAGTCTGTATTGGATGTTCACTATAGTACTGTTTGTGACAGTGAAGAACTGGAAACAACCTAATTGCGCACCAATTGAGGAGTAAATAAATTACAGTATATCTATATCACTTAATATTATAAATTAGGAACACTGAGTAGATCCATATGTGCCAATATGGAAAGATCTCTAGGATACACTGTCAAGTTTTTTCAAAAAGGCATATAGATTAATATCTAACAAATGTTCCCATTTCAATACATAGAAAAGGACTAAAGGATACAGTCTAAACCAATAACCAATTCTCTATGGATGAAAGAGAGGCAACTCTTGTAACTAAATACTTACATTCATTTCCTCTTTATAAAAAGGATATATCCACATATTCCTTGTGTAATTAAAACATTTGTAAATGCACAGGTTAAGAGCTGGTAACCAAGTTCAATGCTTGACTCATCACCAAACTAACCGCCTCCTTTTTCCCCACTACAACTTAACCCAAATTCCTTTTGCTTCATAACAAGTTCAGGTCCAGGTGGGAGGTGGAGGGAGAATAGATGATTTGGGACTGTGTGGGCTCAACTGTTTCTCTAAGGGAAACCAGAGGAGGATTTCATAGCCATTTCTGCCTTGCTCCAGCTCCTCAGGGAAGACACTACCTGTGTGAGGGCTTGGCTCAGCCCCGCTCTGTGCAGGGGCGCAGGAGGAGTGTTTGGGACAACTCTGGAGAGGGCCTGACTGTCCATGGCTGAAATTCACAGCAAGGCTCTCCTAGCCCATCTGCCTCTCAAATTTCTGTTACTGCTCCCAATGAATTTAAAAAGGCATATAGATTAATACGTAACAAATGTTCCCATTAGAATATATAGATAGAAAAAGGACTTAAGGATGCAGTCTAAACCAACAACCAAGTCTCTGTGGATGAAAGAGAGGCCACTCTTATAACATCTGAGAGGCAAGTCTTATACCTTATAACATCTGTCTCTCAAACTTCTGTTACCACTCCCAGTGAATTCATTTCATTTAATTCTGATTACTTCAACCAGTATTTACAACACACTTCAAGCACTCCTCATTCTCTGCCTGGCCTCTGGGCTCCTACCAGGCAATGCCCTCTGTCTGTTGCCCTCAGGGCCTCCACCCTGAATGACTCTTCTTCCTTCAGGATGTGGTCTAAAGTCACTTCTAGGAAGCTCCTCCGACCCCTGAGCCCTGCTCCAGTGAGATGGGAGCACTGCGCGTCGCCTCTCCCGGCCCTCCGCACCCTGTGATGTGCATACAGAGGGGCCGATCAACTCACCAAGGACCACGTTGACAGCGCTGGGTGCCCAGCAGCTGGCACAGGGACTGGCACCTACCAGGTGCTTTGCAAACACTGGTTGAAATAATCTGAACTAAATGAAATGAATGGAGGGAAGAGGACCAGGAAGTCCTCGAGGCTAGCTGGGCCCACGTGTTTCAAATTCCCCATGAAGACAATGGCTGCCCATTCCTGAAAGCCTCTCCCATCTTTCATGGCTTTCAGAGTGTCTGGACGGAATCTGTCCCAGACTCAGATCCATTTCCTCTGGCCCTCTCCATAAACAGAGGCACGCCGCTCACTACAAGGCACAGGGAACTCCTTCTCAGAGAAGAGAACTCCCCTTCAGCATGTACCACCCTGGCTTGTCCAGGCTAGAGAAATTCTGCCCTTTTTGCAGTCTTCCTTGGAGGGCCTGGGACCAAGTTGAGATGGGTGGGTTAAGGAAATGGAAGGCTTTAAGTCTGTGCTTAGACAGACTTCAGCGGAAAGAGAGCAAGACCTTCATTGCCCCAGGGGGAAGAGCAAAGCCAGCTTCTCAGGGGAGGGCCCCCAAACACATGCCAACTGGCTGAAGAGCGGTTTTTCCCATCACATTTCTGACCACTGTAAACAAGGCTTGCTTAAGGCAGCAACTGCCTGTTTGGCAAAGTGAGACTTGGTGACTTTATCTCTTCTGAACATTTACCAACAGGAAAGTTAAGGTTATAAATATGACAAGTGACTCCGGACTTGCTGCAAAAGGCCAGATTCCTTCTCCCTCTGCGCTGACTCTGAGCTGCTTTACACCAGGAAGCCGAACACTCTCCTTATGAGAATGCCTTCTCCTTCCGTCCGATCCAAGGGGAATCCCGGACACAGTGACCCACCCCCTGTTCTGGGATATTGCCACAGAATGGCACTCAGAGTGGCTGAGTCCTGCTGAAAACTATTTTTTGGAGAAGTGGATTTCTACACACAATAATTGTATTGCAGCAAGTCACTACCTGAGAGAGTCTGATTTTGCAAGAGTTTTTAAGGATGATTCCAACCTCCATCCTTGTGAACCACTGGTCCAGATCACGGGCTTCTAACTGGGCCCTGCAGAACCCTGGGGGCTCCGTGCAATTCCTCCCTGCCATCCCAGGGGTCTCGTAGGTGAGGGAGCACTCTAGTTTCCACTCTGAACAGAGCAGTTTTGCTCTCCTTTGCAGTATTTAGTGTATTTCTGCATAAGATATTCAAACAAAGGATCCTGTGCGCCCCCCGCCCACCAAAAAGTTTAAAAGCACTGAACTGGATAATCTTTATGATACCTTCAAACATTATGTTGCTAGGTCTTTTTTTTAAGTTAAAATATGTTAAAATATACTATACACCCCAACACCCCACAGAGCTATGCACTGTGTTTCCCACAGAGCTATGCACTGAGAAACGAGTTTTGGAAGGACTTCATTAAAAGGTGCTTCTGTCCATGGGGTTCCCAGGGCATTGATTCAAATTCTGCAAAAAGCTAAGCTAAAACTAAAATTCTGAAGACTTCCAAACAAGAAATGATGAACCTGTGCAATTAAAGCCTTACTCTGCTTCCACAGTGGAAGGAAGTGGGTGTATGGGCGAGGGAGGGAAGGTCAGGGAGAGAGGGAAGGCGGAACAAGCCCGTGCCACCAGAGCTAAGCTTGGGAACAAGCACATTAGCACTGCCCCTCTGACACTCATGGAGGGATTCTACTCCAGGCAGTCTTAGGTTTCATCAACTCAGAACTCAGCAGATGCCAGCTCCTCTAAGAGGCCTTCTAGGACCTGCATTGGGTTGGTCCCTCTCCTCTAAGGAGTGGCTGGTTCCATTCAGTTCGAGTGGCTGCTACCCTAGACTCAGCTCTGTGAAGGCAGGGGTGAGGTCCTGTCACCATGGATGCTGCGCATAGAACAGGGATTCACTGATATTGATTACATGACACACACATGCCTGGGCATCATCTCAACCTACTTCCCCTGTGGACCCCAAGGCTGGCAGCGACCAATGACACCTGCACAGGGGAATAGTACAGGGGCACTGATCACCATGCTCTACCCAGAAACAGGCCCCAGCATCAGGGTGCCCCCACTCCCATCCACAGAGGTGCCAAGCTGAGCTGCTCAGGCTTAGTCCTCTGTGGGTCACTCACTCCCCCTTTGCCTGAACCCTGTGACTAGTGGTAGGGTTATGGAAGGTGGAGGGTGGACAATGTCGGGGAAACAGTGGCCTACAGATAGAAGTTATCAGCCAGTGAGATGGTTACCAGGCCCTGAGCCTTTGGGGCACATAAGTGCTTTGCTCCACCCAACTGGACTGCACAGTCCTGGCAAGAAAATCTAGGGCTGAGGTGTTCTAAAGCCCAAAAGAGGAAAGTCTGAGCAACTGACAAGAAAACTAAGGAAACTGATGGCTGAGATTCCACACTCAGATGGCAACAGGGATCAAGCAGGGAGCACCACAGGCTGAAATGGGCCAGGCACCAAAGAAAAGAAAGAACCAACCTCATCTGGAGGGGCCCCCACTAGCATGCAAGCCACATGGTACTGTGGGTCCAGCCTGGCCGACAGTGGGGTGTGTGTGAAATTCCTTCACTTTCCAACATGAGTCAGATCTGGCCAGGTGATGACCTCAGATCTCAGATGCTTTTTCAAAGTTGAGGCTCTTCAATCCGATTGAAAATTCAAACAACTATAGAAGGTATTAACGTTGCAGGTTTCTCTCAATTCCATTTCACAGTTCGCCTTACTGATTAACAATATAATTTCTTAGCTAATCCAGGCATAGAATCTGTGGCAAGTTTTAAGTGAGAGCAATTCACTGTGGCAATACCAACTGTGTAGCCACAACCAAGGTGTGACAGGCATCAAGTCACCTGGGGAATAAGGTCAGCCAGGTAAATATTTAAAGGCTGCACCTTCCCCTGGCCAGATCTGTACTAGCATTATTTCCTTTCCATACCCTCATAACCCAACTACACAGAACTACCATAGCTGACTGAAGTGTCTTAGGAGGAAACATTCCATCATAAAGGAGATGTTCAGATGCCTGGGTTCAAGTCCTAGTTCTGCACTCCCTGTGTCCTCTGCACCTCAGTTTCCTTCTCTATAAAATATAATCATATAAGCAACACTAAGGATCCAGGATATCATAAGTGCCTAACGAACCTTGGCCATGGTTATACAAAAACAACAACAAAATGAACAAACGATTTCTGGAATAATCAGTTCAGCAAAGATTTCTGAGCACCTCTTTCTGTAAAACACTGAAAGGCAGCCATTTCCTTTATTCAGTCAACAAATATTTAATCAGAACTTTCTATGTATCCAATTTTAGAAATCTAATATATTTAATTATCTAACCATCCATCCATCCCATTTTTACCTGAGCACCTAGATGTCTAACAGTGACAGGCTACAAGACATACACATAAACAGGCACATACAGACACTTAACAAATACATATGGGGCAGGCACCTATGTTGGTGCACAAAATGTGGTCTCTGGCTCTGTGGAGACAGCAGGAAGACAGACAAGGAGACGCATCACTGACCCAGGCTTTTGCATCAGAGAACTTTGCTGATCTGGCCAGGCTTGGTGGCTCACGCCTGTAATCCCAGCACTTTGAGAGGCCAAGGTGGGGGGATCACTTGAGATCAGGAGTCCAAGACCAGCCTGGCCAACATGATGAAACTCCGACTCTACTAAAAATACAAAAATTAGCCGGGCATGGTGGTGCACTCCTGTAATTCCAGCTACTCGGGAAGCTGAGGCAGGAGAATTGCTTGAACCCAAGAGGTGGAGGTTGGAGTAAGCCAAGATCACGCCACTGTACTCCAGCCCAGGCGACAGAGCGAGACTCCATCTCAAAAAAAAAAAAAAAAAAAAAAAAAAAAAAAAAAAAAAAAAAAGAAAAGATAAAAGGAAAAAAGATAAAAAAAGAACCTTGCTGAATCCTTGGCTCAAGCAATCTGGCCCAAGTGAGAGGTGCTGAATCACCAGAGGAAGGCAGGCCTTGGCAACCTTGCCCAAGCTCCCCCCATGTCCCCGCCCCCAGGCCCTCACCTGCAGGTCTCGGTTGTGGTTTTCGCACAGGAGTTGCAGGAAGCGGAGGATGGGCTGCATGATGGTGATGACTGCGCTCATCTCCAGGTCATCCTTGGTCTTGTCGGCAGTGGCCTGGGTGCCCTCTCCAGGCTGGTAGTGGTCGTCGGGATCAGCCTCCCTCCTGAAAGTAGTGAAGGCTTTCCTGGTGGCAGCAGAGGCCTCCAGGAGCTGATCCCGGACCTCTTCTGTTATCTGTGTTGTGGGCTCTTTAGCTAGAAAGCAAGCATAAGGCATGAAAGGCTGCAGAGTCCTCATGGTCCCTGTTCACCACTCCAAAGGTGACACTCAGAAACCTACATTCCTGTATCTCCTACAGATCTTCAAAGTTGGCAAAACACTCCAAGAAGTCACAATCTGCTTTCAGTCCTCAGACAGGATTAAAACTGAGCCACGCCCTGCCACCTTACTTGTGGTGCTACCATTTCACCTATGCATGCGGTATGTTTTAGAGGAAAAGCCTTAGTACAGGTTCTGTCAACCTCAAAAATATAAGGGTCTGGGCCTCAGCTTCCTCATCTTTAAAATGGGAGAGCATTCATGAATAATATCTCAAGAAAGTTCTTAAGAAGCTCAACATAATGCTAATCACAATTATTGTTGTCGTAATGACAACTGACCCTTTTGTAACTGTCAAAGCAACATGATTAAGAACTTTGTGTTATTTTATCTCATCCTCAGAATAACCCTGTGAAGTAACCACAGCATTACAGTTAGCAGCATTGACTCCGCAGCCAGACAAGCTGGGTTCAAATGCTGGCTCCACTGGCTTCTAGCTGCATGTCCATAATGACTTAATTACCATCTTTGTGCCTCAGTCCCCTCATCTGTAAAATGGGGAAAACTCAATTTTATCTATCTTGCAGAGGTGACATGAGTTTGAAATGAGTGGAATTGTAAAGAACTTTCAACAGTCAGCGCAGTGGCTGGACTATAATCCCAGCTACTCAAGAGGATCACTTGAGGCCAGAAGTTCAAGACCAACTTGGGCAACATAGTGAGACTCCATCTCTACAAAAAAAAAAAAAAAAAAAAATTGTTTTAAACATTAGCCAGATGTGGTGGTGCATACTTGCAGTCCCAGCTACTCAGGAAGCTGAGGTGGGAGGATCATTTGAGCCCAGGAGTTTGAGGCTGCAGTGAGCAATGATCGTGCCACTGCACTCTAGCCTGGGCAACAGAGTGAGACAGAGCCAAGATTTTGTTTTTAAAAAAGAACGCTGAACAGTGCCTGATTCCTAGTAAGCATTTAGCAAATGGCAGCCATTCTTCTTTTTCTTCTCTTTAGCTCCATTCTAGACCAGATGTTCTCAGCCAGGGGTGATTTTGCCCCCAACCCCACCCAGGGGACAACTGGCAATGTCTGGAGACATTCTGGGAGTAGGGGTATGCTGCTGGCATCTACTGGGTAGAGAATGTATATGCTGCTAAGTATCTTACAGTGCACAGGACAGCCGGACAGCCCTGTAACAAAGAATTCTCCAAATGTCACTTGTGCTGTGGTTGAGAAACCCAGTTCTAAACTTGAAACATGAGGCTCAGGGTGCTTAACTTTCTCAAGACCACCTGACTCCAACACCTGTGGGTCTACCCACTCCCCAGTACGACTTCTCTTCTGGTGAGATACTGGATAAAAAGCTTTATAAGCTTTCCAATACCTCAGAAAACAAAAGAACATTATCTGACAAAGGACTGACACCCAGTTTTAAAATACGTATTTCCCTCAACTTTCTCTAACATTAAATATAAATCACAGGAAAAGAATATTCATGGATCCCTTGCCAATAAAACCCTAAGCTTGACCAAGAGGAATGTTCTTTATTAAACAGGAAGATCCTTCTGAGCAGCAGGGCTTCAGCTCAGGTCACTGAGGAAGAATTACATCATAACCAGGCTGGCTTTTCTTCTGAAAGCTCCCATCATAATGCATTTTAGAGCACAGAAGTAAGGAAAACAATGAAGGAAAACAAGGACTCCTCTGTTGTTCAAGGTCCAGCTGACTGAAGACTGAAGAACATTTACCTTTTTTCCGTGATGGGGCATCTCTGTCTACCTCGTCGTCTTTCTTTTTATTTCCCAAGTCACTGGTGTTCACTGTCACTGTTGCTTTGATTTCTTGCTGGGCCACCTTCATCCGGTCATAAAACACCTTAAAGAATTTCTCTGACTTCTTATCTTCTGTCAAACGGCAGAAAAAGGAGTGCTGCAAAGGAAAATCCATGGATTGTGAACACTGTAACTGACCAGAAACTGCACCCCACTCATGACACCAAAACCTAATGAAGATCAGAGCCAGTTGCAAAAGTTCACGCATGATCTAAGTTTAGGTCAACATTAAGGACCACTCCACACACTGTAGTTCTCTGGGTTCTAAGGCCTGAGGTTTTCAACACAGAGTCTTTGAAACAAATTGCTGTGACTGGAACAGACACATAGGCTTTGGGAGCATATTGGAGTGTCATAGGCAGACTGTTGCCAACTAAGAACAACTCTCTTTCACCCTTGCACACACGCAAAACAACACTGTTAATAATGAAAACTGACTTTTTGCGGGGGGATTACTGCAGGGGCAATCATTTGTTTAAGGGCTTCTATGCACTCTTCCCCTGGGCAGAGCCCTATCAAAAATATACACATGAATAAGATATGCTGCCTGTGCTCATTAACAGGTTAGGATGACACGTCCATAAATCAGACTAAATTATGTTAAGTAAAAAGTGCTCAGGAAGCTACACAAGTATATTATAGATGCTCAGAGCTGGTGAGGATGACACTATGCTATAGTGATTCTAAAATCTTCAAGAAAAAGGTCATTTTCAAATCGGGTCTCAAAGGACAGGTAAGGGTGGTTAAATGAAGAAGCTCAAAATGAACAGGTAGCTCTCCTCTTGGATACACATTTGTTTTTGGACCCACTGCAAGCAGTAGTATACACTGTTGATGGAAAAACACAATATGGTGTCTCAACTTCATTTATGAGTATTCGCTTTTCACCCCTTTGCAAACACCACACTGTTGTAAATTATTTACATAAAAATACAATACGGTCATTTAAAAAACAAAGCTCCAAACAATATATTTGCTTCTTCCAGGGGATCTTCTGCCAATTTCAAATCCTTCCATTTGGAAAGACGGCACTTCCCTATAGAAGGCAGTCCTAGGCTTCCAATCCCAGAAAGATCTTAAATCTTACCACCTTCTCGAAGCCCCCTAACTCTTGAAACTTACCCATACACACACCCCAATGCCTGATTCAGCAGAGCCCTAGGGAACCACCACATTTCCATCATCAACATGCAACTTCAGCTGCTTTGACTCTTCCAGCCATCGACTCACACACTTTGTGGACAAACATCTGTCCCGTCTGCCCACAATGCACTTCTTGGTCGTGCCTTTTCTCTTCCTTCTAACTGTTCTTCTTTTCCTCTGGTTGTTTTTTACAGCACAGGATCCATCCTTCCTGCCTGTGCTCCCTGGTTTGTTTTCTCTCCAGCCACTGCCAAATGCCAGGACACAAGTTACCACCTCCCCTATGCTTGGCCTTGCCACCCTGCGTGTCGCTGAGGCCTTCACGATTCCCACTCTGGAATGAAGGTAAGTCTGTAGTGTCCTCCATTGCCCTTTATTGCCTATTTTCTTTTCTTTTAGGTTTCCTGCTATTTCATCCATCCATCCACTTATCCATCTACCTACTCATCCATCCATCCATCCATCCATCCATCCATCCATCCATCCATCCATCCATCCATCCATCCATCCATCCATCCATCCATCCATCCATCCATCCACCCACCCACCCACCCACTACTTATTTTTGCATTTGTCACGAGGTGGGCACTATATCAATTATAAGAGAAGTGAGCAAAAACGAGCCTAGACCTTCCACCCATGAAATTGACAGTCTCAGGAGGAAAACACACAGTAATTCAACAAACACCATAATAACTATTTACTAAATAGCCTTTCATCCCTACAAAAGTGACCCAGGAGGCTGCTGGTAAACAGTGCTGTGGCAGACACTCAATGCCACTGCCCTATTCTTATATTCCTGGTTCTTCCCCTGGCTAGGGCTCCTCATCTTTTGGGCCCACCACCAATGCCACCTGCTCAGTGAGGCTGCCCCTACAGCAGCTCCCAAGCCTACTGCTTATTCTCCATGCCCCGTTTTATCTTCTTCACAGCAATCGAGCCCTCTGAATTGCACTGTCGCACTGACTGTTCACCTGCTTACTGTCTTATGCAGAGTGCAAGCCCTATGAAGGCAGATGCCTCACCTCAGTGGTTTTCAGCTGCCCCCAGAGCTCCTAGAAGAGACCCAGCACACAGAAGGCACTCCATGATTATTTGATAAAAGAATGAATACAACCCAACACTTTATGGCTCCCCATAACTGGATGCCTCCCTTCTCACAGTTGGATCCTTTTTATATTTGGTGGACATGACAGAAATAAATCTCCAAAATAAATGAATTCTAGAAAATTGCTCAAATAAGAGAAAGCAACTTTCAATTGTTCACTTCTTTGAGAGCTCTTGAACCCTCAGATCAACAAAAGAGACAAAAAAATGGTGGGTACAAAGAATGCAACCTGAAGCCACCTAATTATGGTGACTGAATTTCCCACCAAGACAGGCCATCCAACATCTCACCCATGTGGGCTCACAGGGGACTGCCTGCTAAAGCGGAGGCGCACCAGAAGGTGGCCGTGCAGGACCATTCGCTTCAGTTGTATCCCAACCCTGTTCTTGTGGCACAGAAGCAACTTTAAAAGCATTTTGGACAATCTGGTCATTCAAGGAAACAAAAGCCCTTCAACTAAGTAAGCAAATGAATAAATAAAGCCCGCCATCTGTCATCTGATAGCAGCGCCACGCGACACACACAGATAGCCTGCCACAGACCGCACTGTCTGACGGCCAGCCGGGTGACCCAACGGCTGTCAACCGCTAGGGTCAGGGTAAGGGAAGCTCTTATGAGATGAGGCAGGGCCAGGCACTGAGAACGCCACACTGCTGTGTGTGTGTTTGTTTTGCATTCTGATTCCAGTACTCACTTGCTCACAGGTTCGAAGCAGCTTTATCGATAGAATGTGCTCAAAAAAATAATAAAAGGGATAATAAGGTCTAGAAGACACGAGTAAGCACAGAAGATCAAAAAGAGAATAGGTTGGGAACTGGAGAATGGGGAATGAGGATTCAGAGGAGTCCCAGGCCGGGCTCTGAGGTCAAGCTGAAATGAGAGGTGTGCTCAGTTACACTACTCTTGGTATCAAAAGGAGAAATATAACCAGTGCCTCAACGGAAGGAAGACATTTCTTTTTTAAAATTCTGTTTTAATAAATTTTTTAAATTTAAACAACTTTTTAAGTTCTGGGGTATCTGTGCAGGATGTGCAGGTTTGTTACAAAGGTAAATATACGGTGGTTTGCTGCACCTATCAACCCACCCATCGCCTACATATTAAGCCCAGCATGCATTAGCTCTTTTTCCTAATGCTCCCCCTCAACCCCTGCCTCCCCCAACAGGACCCAGTGTGTGTTGTTCCCCTCCTTGTGTCCATGTGTTCTCACTGTTCAGCTCATACTTATAAGTGAGAACATGCGGTGTTTGGTTTTCTATTCCTGCATTAGTTTGCTGAGGATAATGGCTTCTGGCTTCATCCATGTCCCTGCAAAGGACACGATCTCATTCCTTCTTATGGCTGCACAGTATTCCACACTTTATGGCTGCATAGTTTATGTACTACAATTTCTTTATCCAATCTATCAGTGATGGGCATTTGGGTTGATTCCATGTCTTTGCTATTATGAAGAGTACTGCAATAAACATATGCATACATGTAACTTTATAACAGAATGATTTATATTCCTTTGGGTATGTACCCAGCAATGGGATTGCTGGGTCAAATGGTATTTCTGGTTCTAAATCTTTGAGGAATTGCCACACTGGGAAGGCGTTTCTTAAGAGAGGAATTAGCAGGGCAGACTTTGCAATCAGATTGCCTGGGTGTGAGTCCCAGGTCCTTGACCCACTGGCTTTGTGGCCTTGGGCACACTGCCCAGCCTCTCTCAATCCACATGGAAGGGCTGCCACGATGCATGCCAAGTGCTCAGTACAGTGCAAACTGATGGTGTTAATTTTGTTTTTCTACTACCATTACATTAGTAGAACGTGAAAACCCCAAGGTGAAGGTAACCCTGTGAGCAGCTAGGACACGATAGCAAGGTGACAGCTATGTTTCCAGAGTCGGAAAGGCCTGGATCTCAGCTCCACCACTTACTAGCGAGGGTCACCTTAGGTAGTGACAATGTCTCCGAAACCCGAATCTTCTCATCTGCAAAATGGGTAACAATCGTACTTCATGGATGGTTATGAAGGCTCAGTGAGATCACCACAGTAACACGATAGCTAACACTCACTGACTGCTTTCGAGCTACCAGGAGCTCAGGCAAACCTTCACATGTTATCTCGCCCAAAAACCCACAGAGCTAGTTACAATGATTATTCCTTTGGAGAGCTCAGGAGGCCCTGAAAGATAGTACACATCAAATATTTTAGCACAGCCCCAAGATACCCAACTACGAAGAACACAGTCTCCCCAGGATGCCCAGGTGAAGACAGCTCTAACAGGGAGGACAAGCAAGGGCTTAGGGTGTAAGTCCCCTGACTGAGAAGCCAAATAAAGACACTCCAAGCCGGGTGCTGGGGCGCACGCCTGCAGTCCCAGCTACTCCGGAGGCTGAGGCAGGAAGATCTTTTGAGCCCAGGAGGTCAAGGCCTACCTGGGCAACATAGTGAGGCTTCTGTCCCAATGAAATAAAAAACTTAAAAAGGTACCCCCGAAGGAAGAAGTGGGGTTTCTAGAAAAGAAGCAGTGGTATCTGTTGCGAGAGTAGAAGTGAAACATGATGGTAGTGTGGGTAAAGAACTAACATACTTCTCCTTAGAAGGGGCATACCCTGGGAGTGACAGGAGGCAGAGGGGTGGCTGTCCCCAGGGAGGGCCTTCTGGAATTGCTGGCTGTGGCTGCTGGAGGCGTTCACCTGCCCCCTCTGGTACCTGGTGTGACCTAGACTTAAAGAGACAAGAGCCCTCCACACAGTCCCAGACCTGTTCATTAAGCCTCTTTCTGTAATGATGCAGGGTGTGGCTGGGGAGTGGAGTGTCCTCCTCGGGACTGTCTCCCTACGGCTGGTGGGAGCTGAG